AAGGGGGGAAGAGGGAAATATGCATGAAGTTAAGAATTCTCAATGTTGTTCTGTATGTTCTGTATGCATGTGACTTTCACAGTGCTTTAAAAACAGATTTGGAAATTGCATATCATAATTCCACAATATGTAAAACAGTTGTCTGAAACCACAAAGCTGAAAACATGTCATGATTTCATATACTGAGAGAAGACTTACCAAAATATAGGGCTTTCACCAGGTTCTTTCACTTTGTAGTACTCCTTATCTTGTGGCAAGACTTTAGTCAATCCAAAATCTCCAATTTTAACTCTGTTCTCATTCTCCACTAAGATATTTCTTGTTGCTAAATCCCGGTGAACGTATCTTTTTGTACCCAGATACTCCATGCCCTAAGCATAAGGTTCACAAACACAACAGAAAAGAAAATTATTTTTAAATGGTAGCACTATCTTTAAAGGGATGAATCAAGCTCAAAGTTAAAATCAAAGAGAATGTATCAGAATCAGTGTAGTTGAATATTTGCTTTCTCTATTAAGTGAATCTTTCCAAATTCAGGACTCAACTAAAGGCAGCTAGATAACGAACCTTTCTCAGCCAAGTGTTTTATGGTTATGTAGCTAGATGGCTGTTACAGCTCCTTTCCATACCCAAGTGCAGTTTGCCAGTACTTGGCAAAAATAAACGAAGTCTGGGCTAAGCTACATGATGCAGGGCAGATAAGAAGTCCTTTCATTAGCTGTTTGAATTAACCTTCTTTCCAGACATTTTTCACATCTGCTTTCCTAATTTCATTATAAAACTTTATCTTACAAGTCCTTGAACGTGACAGCTATTCTCTGGCTATATTCATATTTGTAAATCTTCTTTCTCCTTTTTATTGACCATTATCCTCCATCACAGCTCTTCTTTTACTGTATCTTGCATAATGGCAACCCATGGAAATGATAATCTGTAGTTGTCATATTTTGCTGCTGTTGCTGATCCTTCTTACCAGTACATTCTGTTTTTGCAATTAATTGAATGCAGAAGTCAGTGTGTGAAGAGACAATCAAGCTAAGGTATTACAGCATTAAAAAAAATTCTTGCTTACACAGCAATAAATGGTAAACAGAAACTGACAATGTGGTACTAAGAGATTCTTGATTCTCATACACGGAAGGAAACACGAAGCAGACCATCAGTTTCACAGTTTCATAAAGAAACATGGCTACACAATGGAAAAAGCAATAAATAATGTTCTAGAATGCTAAATTCAAACATTTGGGGCATCAACATTATATTTTTAATGCCAAAAGATTGGTCTTTTCCCTTTTTAAGTGAGAAACCTCTGAAAAAGTGTAACTTGGAAGTCTATTTCCTCTCAGACTCATTCTACCTCTCTGTACCATTAGGTGGCAACACTGTATATTAAGAACATCCCACTTCAAAACTGTTTAAAACTGACATGTTCCCCATTTCTTAAGTTACCATTTGCTATCCTGAAAAATAGTAGTATTAAATACTGTACCGAAAATAGTCCTTAAGTTTCTCTGCTACTAGTGACTTTCCTATTACAATAGCCGTTTTCCAGCCTCAGAGATATATTTACTTGAAATCATGCAAATTTTGAGTGGAAATCATAATCCTCTGACATTACACTAACAATGAGGTCAAGTTCAATGACACTGTTCAAATGTTTTCACCTTTACTATTCAAATGCTAGTTGTGGGGCCCTCCAGCAAGGATAAATGAAATACTTTAAGCATTATGAGGTGGAAAAACAAAATTATTCCCATCCTCTTACCAGCAAGAATTAAGAAAATGTAGTGTCAAAAGAGGAAAAAAAGAACAGCGTCAAAATCAGAGAAGTGTTGGGAATCTCATTTTGTTATTTGCTGAGCTTTTTCTTCTTTCTTTTTTAAAATTTGACTATAGAATTCTATTGCTTGCCACCAGAAGAGCAGAACTAGTGACACGAGCTACATCACATTATAGCTGCAATGATTTGCATCTACAGAAATGTCACAATTAACAAATGCCATCTCTGAAAACACTGCCTTTCACAGTATGAGAAACACAAGTCAGGACATTAATCCCAATTCTCAGTAAGGAACCAAATACACTGCAAGCAAGCACACTTATCTTAACATTTTAGTATGGTAATGTCTTCATTTCTCTCACACATACTTGAAATAAGAAGAAGGCTGAAGCTGAAAAAGACTTTCAGCTAAAAAACTAACAAGAAAAACAAACAAATGAACAAAACAAAGTAACAGAAATGCACATGAGGCAGAAGAGACTTCAGATGCTGAAAGAACAAATCATGAGAGAAACAGAAAAGGAAAGGAGAAGAGCTAAAAGTATTTCGATCTTATTTTAGTAATATTATGTACTCATTTTTAATGCGTAGTAATAAACCATAACTGAGTGCTTTTGTCAGATTTAAGTAGTCTGCTTTGAAAACCCTTATCTTAAAACAGGATTCCATACTAAGCATAGACTCACTAGCTCTTTGAGATTTTATCCAGAGGGAAATAAAGCATTAGCTCCGATGAGGAAAAAATCAAGCTGTTCTGAAGCAAAATAATACAATAGAAATACTTAGTGCAATCAAAATAACCTCTGCTTTACAGGTAGCACAGTAACATTAAGGCAAAGCAAAATACACACATTAATACTTAGTCTTTGCTTCTCTTAGAAGTCAACAAGAGATACTTCTTTCTATATGTTCTACACATGTCTTTCTAGTACTTATACAGAGCTTGTAAGCAGGAGGAAAATCATCTTTTCAAGTAGATAGTGGTAGGACACAGGAGAACAGTTTTGAACAAAAAGAGGAGAGATTTAGATTAGATGCTAGGGAAATTTTTCACTGAGAGGGTAGTGAAGTGTTGGCAGTCTCTCCAGAAAAGCTGTGGATGCCCCAACCCTAGAAGTGTTCCAAGGCCAGGATGGATGGGGTCCTGGGCAGCCTGCTATAGTTGCTTGATTCAGTGGTTGGCAACCCTGCAGGGTGGTTGGAACAAGATCATCTTTAAGGTCCCTTCCAACTAAAGTAATTCTATATTCTATGTCGACTTCCCACATTCTGATAGTGTTTGTCTATGATTACATGAAAGCACAAATCTTCCCAATAATGATTTGCAAAATGCAAATTCTAGCTTCCTTCCTTCTAGCTGGTACTTAGAAATAAGTCATTTGATCTGTTGTTTTGATTTTACATCGGCAGTCTGCATACCTGCATACCTGCAGTATTTCAACTTTTCTCTCATACCTGTATACACAAAATGGCCTGAAAGAGGAAGGCACAAGTCTACTAGATAAGACAATATGCAATGGCTACACGCCCTGAAGAACACTCATTAAGTAATTTAGTTTCCTTGTTTGAAATGGAAATCATGGAGAGGAAATTTAAAATATTTGTTACGTGTCTTAGAATAAGAAGGGAGTATGTGCGTGTCTGTTTGTCTACCTTTCTTTCCTTTTCTTTTTTTTATTAAAGGTAATAAACATGCAAGTGAAATCTGAAGCATCCTTAGTTTCTCATATCTTAAACACAACAATAGCATAAATCTAAAGCAGGCATACTTCTTCCTTCTGAGGTAGTAAGACATAAGGTAATAAGAAGATTAGATAACTGTGTCCCATTTCAGAATTTATGAAGTATTTTCCATGTCAGCCAGTGAGACTGAATTATTACAGTTTTGGGCACTTTTATAGCCCCTAGCTCTTCACACAGAAATCATGTACCTTCCCTCCACTAGATCAAAATGCTAATATTACTTACTTAATATTAACTAAAAATTAAAAATAATTAATATTAATTAATATTACTTACTTATAAATTGACGATATTACTAATATTGCCAAATATATGAACACTGTTATAGATATTCACCTCTAAAAGTCACTGAGTTTATATAAGAAATATCAGTTATGGTATCCCATGAACAGTTTGCCTGAATGAATACACTAAATCCTTCAAAATTTTAATCCAGCTTTCATTAGAGAAAAAAGAGGTTTTAATTCTTCTGAATAAGTCTAGATGCCTCATAAATATAGATGACCCTCAAAATATAATTCTCCCTCAATCAGTATATATAGCATATAGATCAATGTCAGCATGTTGCATTAAGGATTACAAAAATACTCAGAATTTTTTCAAGTTCTTGAATATGAGAACACCTTGCTATCTTTTTTAGCATTATGTTTTACTAGCTTCCTAACACTATTAAAAAATACATACCAAAACAACTAATTTCTGAATGAAATAAGTAGATGCAAATTTGTCAAAAAATACAAGCCATCTGAAAACTCTCTTACCTTGCATATCTGAGAAGCATACAGCAAAAGCTTTTTGTGGTCCAATCTCTCTTTGTGTTTCTGCAGATAATCCCGTAAGCTTCCATACGGTAGATATTCCATAATTAATCTCAGATTCCTACGACCTTTTACAGCAACAAATAAAATACTTCATGTCACTTTTCAATGCAAAGTTTTGAAATAGATATTTACAAGTGAATAGAAGTAATAGAAAAGTCTCACTAACAAAAATGCATTTTATTGTATGCTCATTAGTGTGCAATCTTTCATCTGTTATTTGCATCTGATATGGAAATGCCATTTATTTAACCACGACCACATTGTGTATATGCTTAATATTCAACATCTCATAAAAACTACTATTGGCTAAAAGTAAAGCACAAGTGCCACCCGTGTATACCTGCGTTTACACAATTCCTTCTTTTTGCTGAGGTAAAACTCAGAATGACAACTGACATCAACTAGTTAGCAATTTAAAAATCTTCAAAACTTAGTCTAATTTTGAACACTTATTTTTTTTTTTAAACAATCAGATCTTGCACAAAACTTGTGCTTTCACTCAATTTCAACATCATCAGCAATTCATTCAAATACATAAGTTTCTGAAACTTTCTCCTTCTTAGTCATTTATTATACAGTACAAGAAGTGGTATTATCCACTCTCAGACATCACATTAAAGGAAAAATAAGAACAGTTAAAAAAAAAAAAGGTTTAATTTTCTTACTTAATCCCAGATTCATTGCTTTAGGATAAAGCAACTGGGTAACCAGTCAAAACAGCCTGTTCTTTAAAAATCATACAAATTATGCCATGAGCTGACTGAATAAAGAAAATTCATCTTACAATGAAAAGCTGTACATAATAGACTTTTCTTCCTTTGGAAAAGTCACTAGGCAATGGCTTTTGTAAACATCTCCCTGAATTTCTTGCAGTATACATGTTTAATTATGCAACTTAAGGTGTATTCAACATAGCACATACCTGCACTGTAGCAAACTCCTTTGTATTTAACAATGTTATCATGCTGCAGAGATTTAAGTATTTCAATTTCTCTTTCAAAGTCCCTAAGGTGCTCCTCTGTACTATGTTGCAGCTTTTTCACAGCCACCACCTCCCCAGTATTATCCTGTAGGGGATCATACCGGCACATCTCAACACTGCCAAAGTTTCCCTAGATCATAAACAGAAATACTTGAATTAAAAAATTAGTTCACATTATCTTCTCTTTCCCAGTGTTTGTCTATAAATACCTCAGTGCTCACTGTAGTATAACATTGAAGCAATATAATAAGTTTTATGTAACATTTACTATGTTATTTATGTAATAATTATTTAAGTGAAATATCACAAAACCACCATGAAAGAAGTTAAGAGTAAAGGATCACTTTCCGCCATTCTTCAGCACTCCTGGCTAACCAAGGATGTTCCGGTGGATTGGAGACTGGCAAATGTGATACCCATCTTCAAAAAGGGCCGGAAAGATAATCCTGGTAGCTACTCAGACCTATCAGTCTCAGCTCAGTGCCTGGGAAGATGGAACAGATAATTTTAGGTGCCATCATGGACCAATTAAAGGTCAGCCAGGGGATCAGGCCTAGTCAGCATGGGTTTACGAATGGTAGATCCTGATTGACAAACCTGATTTCATTCTATGACAAGGTGACCCACTTAGAGGATGAAGGTAAGGCTGTTGTTGTGGTCTATCTGGACTTCAGTAAAGCGTTTGACACTGTCCCCCACAACATTCTCATGGAGAAGCTGGCTGCCCACGGTTTGCATGGGTGCACGCTCAGCTGGGTGAAATACTGGCTCGGTGGCCAGGCCCAAAGAGCTGTGGTAAGTGGAGATAAATCCAGTTGGTGGCTGGTCACGAGTGGAGTCCCCCAGGATTTGGTACTGGGACTGCTTCTATTTAACATCTATATTAATGATCTTGTTGAGGAGATGGAGTGCACCCTCAGTAAATTTGCACATGACACCAAGTTGGAAGGGAATGTTGATCTGCCTGAAGGCAGAAAGGCACTACAGAGGGAACTGAGTAGACTGGATCAATGGGCTAAAATAAACTGTATGAGTTTCAATAGGGCCAAGTGTCGGGTCCTGCATTTTGGTCACAACAACCCCAGGCAACCCTACAGGCTTGGGGAGGAGTGGCTGGAAAGCTACCTGATGGAAAGGGAGCTTGGTGTACTGATGGACAGTCGGCTGAATATGAGCCAGCAGCATGCCCAGGTGGCCAAGAAGGCCAATGGCATCCTGGCTTGTATCAGGAATGGTGTGGTGAGCAGAATTAAGGAAGTAATCTTGCCCCTATACTTGACATTGTTGAGGCCTCACCTTGAGTACTGTGTTCAGGTACCTCAGTACAGAAAGGACATTGAGGTGCCGGAGCAGGTCCAAAGAAAGGCAACAAGGCTTGTGAAGGGCTTGGAGAATATGCCGTATGGAGGAGGAGACTGAAGGAACTGGGGTTGTTTAGTCTGAAGGAAAGAAGGCTGAAGGAAGACCCTACTGCTCTCTTCCAATATCTGAAATGTGCTTATAGTGAGAGCAGGGTTGGTCTCTTCTCACTGGTAACAGGACAAAGGGAAATGGCCTTAAGTTGCGCCAGGGTGAGTTTAGGTTGGATAACAGGAAACACTTCACTACAGAAAGGGTTGTTAAGCACTGGAATAGGCTCCCCAGGGAGGTGGTTGAGTCACCATCCCTGAATGTGTTTAACTTAGTGGAGGGTTGTTAGGGTAGTTTGGTTAGGTTGTGGTTGGACTCGATGACTTTTAAGGTCTTTTCCAACCTGAGTGATTCTGTGATTCTATCACAGTGACATTTCTGCAGCAACTGTCTGTGAGAAACATGCTCTATGAAAGGATGTGAACAACACTGGAAAAACAGGAGGGCAAGGAGAGGAGAGTGATATCCATTCATTTTCTCCCCTTTCCTCACAGATTTCTGCTTAACTCTCATAATGCCTGCTGGGATACCTCTTTTCCTGCATTTGTAAAGAACTACACATTAAGGCTCCTTCTGGTTCATGGCTCTCCTTTGTTTTTCAGTAGTTTTTCTTCCATTCTCTGTTCTACTTTCTTCCTCTCTATTCTGCTTATCTTCCTTTTCACAGTCACCACCAGCAACTCCATTCCTTTCCCTACTCTACACTACTGTTTATAGCCAACAATCACCTACAAATTGAAGCAGTTCTGCCACTTTGCTTTCAGGTTTTGTCACTTGTAGAGACAAGTGGACATGTAGCTACGCATCAGTAACCAATATCAGAAAGTGAGAAACCATTCTGGAATAATGGTACTTAATCCAACTGGCAGAACTTCATTGAAGTCATCTGTTTGTGCATGTTTTCCACAGCCAAGCTGCAATGACTTGCAAAACATTGTAACCAAATGCTGATTTCTAAAGCTTAAAAAGTTTGAGGCCCACAGGTATCTCTAAGACATTACTGAATTTTGGGCCCTTGTATTCAGAGTTCCCAGCATATGCGTATTAAAAAACAAACAAAACAAAACAAAAAACAAACAAACAAACAAAAAAAAACAAAAAAAACAAAAAACAGCCTCCTGGTTTCTATACAAAATTGCTCTGGAACAATTGTAAAGGAATCCCAAGCATAAAAACTGACAAACAAAAAATTAAGCGTCAGATGCAGCTCTGCACTGGAAATATTAAGCCTCTCCTGGTGACTGGAATGTAGAAAACAGCTACATTTCTTCTGTCTAAAACCATCAAACAAGTTCCTTTCAAATCTTTTTTTCCACTGTGCTCAGATATTTCTTGAAATATTTCTTTCAGTAATGGAAGCAACCAATGTTACTAATGTATATAGGATCATTAGAAGATAATTGAAAAAGGTAGCTATTTCTTAGGCAATTAGAGAATTTCCAAATATACTACCTTGCCAAGTTGCTGTAAAAACTTGAGATGTCTTTCTTCAAATTGTGTAGGGTCCCGATCTTCAAAGGCTCCAGAAAATCCAAGAGCTCCAGTTCGTATATTTGGCAACATATCATTTTCTGTCAATAACTCATAATCTGAAGTATAGGAGGAAGAAAAAGGATGAAGAAAGAAAAGAGAAGCAAACAGGAGAATGAAACAAACTTACTACAGTGAATCTTTTACCTAACTCTAACTCTAGGCATACTCTGAGCTTAGTAGAATATTAACAACCTCCTTTATTTCTACACAGTAATTTGCAGTCATGAAGACAACAAGATATTACCAAACAGTCAAGTAGCTTGACTCATAACAAGTCTTGCTGTAATTTCAAAATACTTTTTTTTTTTTTTTAAAAAAAAAGATCTACTGAACTTAAATTCCTCAGCTATTGCACAATGACTCCTTTATTATAGAGGGAAGAAATGAAAACTTGGGCTTGTGATAACGTGCATCTTCCACTTAGTAAAATATCTCTTACTTTTCAGAGATAAGAAAGACCTTTGCAAAACCATCTGGCTAGGAGACTAGAAGAATTAAGATAGACATTAATCATCACTCAAAGCATTACTTTTACTTCACACTAACTTTTAATATATTCTTTTTTACAACAAACTAAGCAGCAGAAATGTAATATTCTATGGAGTTGGAAAGTGGTTGTAGGCCAAAATACTGAAATGGGAGGCACCATAAGAAATGTAAGCAGCAGAAACTAGGATTTTTTCTATCTAATGCTATCCTTTTGTACACAAACTCAGACTCACCAGGAGTGAACAAACTATTCAAGTCACGTATAATTGCCCTAAATGATGGCCTGAAATCTGGCTCATAATCCATACAATTGTTTATAAGATTTGCTAGCTCTGTCCAGTTGGGGGCAGGAAGTTGGTGTCTATCTTCATAAAACTGTAGTTTCTGGAATAGAAGGGAGAAAAGCCTTTTTACCATACAACCATGAAGAGTTCTAATAGCCATGATATTCTGACTCGAGCAGTGAAAAAATACATCTCTCAACCTAGATTTATCACCTCACCAACATGCACATCTGACCAACTGACTGGCTGTTTAGAAGGACTAGCATAATTTAGAGAACCGAGTTGAAAAACTCCGAGGCATCTACTGGTGGAAGAAAACAGAAGAAGGTCTGTAATCTCATTAAACCAATACGGGTTAAATCCAGCAGAAAGTTTTATCCATTTGTGAGCTGAGTGAGCTTCACTAGATGTAAAAAAGCTTCACTGGCTTTTTTACTGGCACTAGAAAAGAATGAGTTAGTAGAAGAGATGAGAGCATATTCTGAAAAACACAGATGTTTAAAAGCTAGGTCTAGAGAAGATCTTGAAATTTTTTCTAAGAGATGATTTCAGCACCTGAGAAATTGGATGAGGCTTTGTTAGAAAAACAGCCAATTTATGATAATAATTCTACAAATCATTACAGAAAATGGTAACTTCTGTTCACTTCTATATAAAAACTAAATATATAAGAAATAATATTTTAATGGAATATATTTATGCTCAACACCCCCATCCCTCGAGTCCCTCAGGCAACGCTAACATTTCTGTTTTAAATAAAATAGAATTGTCAGCAACACACACGATCTTTCAGGTTCTAGGTATTCATTTACAGCATAACTAGAATTATGCCTACCAAAGGTCACGCACATTGTTAGGGAAGCCTTTTTTTTTTTTTTTTTTTTTTTTTTTTAAAGTAAGATAAGGTTATAACAAAGGAAAAGAAGTGTGGGCAAGATAATTCTGGCATAACTGAACTTTGTCCCCATAAAAATAAAAAATTAACAATGTAAAAATAATCCTTAAATAATCACTCAAGATCACTGTCTATCAGACAACGTGATGTTTCTTATGGTAGTTAGGGGCCACACCATTTTGCATGCTGATTGGTTACAATTGCAGACGTTTTAAAGTATCCAAAGAACTGCCACTACTGCAGATCCAGTGACACTTACTCTTGAAGAATCGAGAGCGCTCAGTGGTTTATCTCCTCCACTGCAAATTTCCCATAAAGTGGTACCAAAACTCCACTTATCCGTAGCTAGGCTTAGTTGTTTGGGGTTCTCTATACATTCAGGTGGAACCCATGGTATTCTCTCAAGAAGAACTGTGCAGTCATGCAAAGAAAACATTATGTTAAGATCAGTAATAAAACCACAACATTCTAAAACACATTTGATTCAGTAAAAATGGTTCTAGTATGCATAGATATTTCATTCTGTAACATGTTTTTAATATCTTTCCAAGTTTTTGTTCTTTTCTTAAAACTACAGATTATCCACAGAAGTAATACTTTTGAATCAGTACTACTATGAGTCAAATACTACAAAACTTACGAATACTCAGGAAAACATATGTTCAGAAGATCATTAGTTTTACTATCGAATTAGACTAATGTTTAAAAAAATACTTTTCTAACCTCATTTCCAAACCATATTTTTGTTCTGGCTTTAATATTTTCCCCCAAATTATCAAGATTTAATAGCTATCGTGAAAGAACTAGATAGCAAACAGCCAAAAGTACTTTACTGTTTGTTGATACATTATGGCACAGCAGTATAAAGTAACCATAGTGAGCGATTTCCCACTTTATGATTTTTGAGCTTTTAATAGTGAGTCTAGTAACAGGTTGAAAGTAAATTTGTTTTCTGATGCAGATACAGATCTTAGAATATGATATTTTTAAGGTTAGTGAAGGCTCTGTATATTAAAAGAGTGAAAAATTACTGGACTACAAGCCCTATGCTGCTTACAGTCTCTTAGATGCGTTGTATCTTCTGCATAAAATTAGCAAGTCTAAAATGTGTTCATTTTTCAAAAAAATTTTACGAAAACTCAGAAATGGATAAGAAGATTACTTCTGTTTCATTAGCATAAGGACCTTGCACACACTTTATGCTTCTTTCAGTATGAGATAATTTTGTTCATGAAGTGGTAAAACAGTTTTTTTTTTTTTTTTTTTTTTTTTGACAAAGCTAATAACATAGTACTTTCAGCAACCTCTGAGACTTTAGTCATTCATCAAAATATGTACCAAAGATAATTTTCAACTGCCAGGCAGCATTCTGATAAGTGCATTAACTTTGAATTCAGAAAACTCCAACAGAATAAACCAATTCAATCCTGATTGATAAGAGGATACTAAGCCCAGCAGCTATCTGCAGGCTTACAGTAGTTTATAGTATATTAATAGTACTATCAGTGAAAAGCATTTGTTTAGAATGGGAACAACATGAAATACTCATACAGTGGATAACTGTGACTTTTTTTTCCTGTATCTATTTGATGAAAAAGAGGATACATTCAAAACTGCTGAGTAGGACGGTGGGGATTATTCTAAAGTGACAAAATAATGAAGTGGTTTACTGAAACAAAAGTAATGAGATGGTAGCAAGAAAAAAAAATAATCTTGATTTTCAAGTCAGAAGCATTAAAAAAGAAAGCTGACACAAAGACTTACTGTCTCTTGGCAAAACTGTGATACTGATGCCAGGATCACTTAGCTTTATAAAAGGAAGGCTTCCAGACTTCCTATCCTCCTCCCTAATAAGCAAGATGTTCTTTGCACAGACATTCCCATGAACAAGGCCTTTATCCTCCTGATAAACAAAAAGGCAAATTTTACAAACAGACAAAAATACCTTATGATTGAAAAGGTATTTAAAAAAAAAAAAAAACACTTAACAGCATAAAGGGAAAAAAGAAAATAAAGATTAGAGATGTAACCAAATCTCAGACATTTCATCGGTTCCTTTTAGTTAAGTTTTGCTATGCAAATTTTCATTCATTTTAATCATCAACTTGTTATTGATTTTATCTGAAGTATGTTAACTTAAATGATGGGTCCATCAACACAATACATTTAAAATGAACACAAAAACTGTTAAACTCTTTCAAAAGGAATATTTCAAAAGAACGAAAAAATCTATTACATTCTATGTAAGATATAAAGGTCTGACTTCAGCATTCAGTCAACATCTTATTTTCACACTCCCCACTTAGTTTCAAGAGGTAGGATAACAGCTCATCACTCCACATGCATTAACCTGAAACACTTTAACTCAACCATTAACAAAAATAAAAAATAAACTACTCACCAGGAAATGCATGGCTAATGCCAGCTGTTTGGCAACTTCCAGTTTCCACAATATATTAATAATGTTTTTGTTCTTTTTCAAATATGTGTCCAAAGATCCAAATTTCACATATTCTTGTACAAGGATATCTGATTTAAAATGTTAAAAGTGTAATAATTAAAACCAACAATAAACAAATAGAAATTCAAGGAAGACATTACCATAATATTACCCATCTCTTTCTTCACTATCCATTGACAAGCTAATTATAAATTCAAATCTATATGACCTCTTAATATTGTCACAAATACTTCATGCAATTTACATTTCCACCTTAAGAAATGCAGTGATTATCCTTCCACCCTCACACCAAAGGCACAATAAATAACATTGCTTCTGATAAGCATAGCACTGTACATAGTAACATGAATGCAATAAGTCAAATAACGTCCATTTCAAGTAATTCACTACGTAGGGGCTTATAATCTCCAATTTTTCTGGAAAAATAAGACACTTCATAGAAAAAAAAAAAAGATATCTTGAAAACAGATCAATAAAAATTTACAATACAAACATTTGCATATATGTATGACATATGTCTCCACACGGTCATACAGAAAGTAACCCATGAAACAAGATCCACTTTACAGTACTGCATAATCTGTTTCAATTAGAAAAAATTAAATTGCAGTACTGAAATCGTGTCTTCAGCTGCAAGATGGATTGCAATAGTGCAGTTGGAAGGGACTTACAGAGATTTTTGAATTTTACTGCCTGACTATGTCAGGGCCATCCAAAAGTTAAAGTATATTCCTGAGGGCACTATCCAAAAGCCTCCCGTCCAGGAATTGTGTTCCAGTGTTTGGCCACCTTCACAATAAATAAATTTTACCTGATGTCCATTGTGGATCTTGTCTCACCAGCTTTAATCCATTCCTGTCTGCTCTGATACCAACTCCCAGAAAGAAGAGCCCAGAACCTCCCTTCTCCTTTCCCCCTCCTCCAGAAGGTATAGAGAGGATGCTCACATTTTAGTGCTTTTTACACTCTGAACACACTGGAAACTACCAGTTTTATATTTGTCTAATGAAAATAAACTAATTTTTATGACATTATTTTACAGACAGAAAACTTTTTTAAAAATAATAATTATGCAAAGCAATTATTCTGAAGTCTGGACATCAAATATCTAACGCAGGGAAAAAGTAAGACCTTCTCTTACCATTTCTTACTAACTGCCACTTAGTAATACACTGTAAGCCTCACCTTCAGAAAAAAAGACTACAAGGGCTGACTGTGATCTAAGGGAGAAATAGTATCCACGCTTACATAACTAGGAATTTATTATTTCCATGTTTTAAAGTGATACACTATCTACCTGGAGTTTTATATATAGTCTCTATGCATGATAACATGAACGAACTAGGAAAGCAATTGTGGATGTATTTAAAATTGAAACTAGTATTATGAGTTCTCAGACAAAAAATGTACTGACTTCTCAACCTCGTAAGAAAAGCCACTTCCAATACAAAATGCCCCTACCTTCCTTGCTTTGCAAATTCCATTTCTCTTAATGGAAGCAGCAGTCTACACATTATACGTTTACTACAAAAATGGCTCATTTTGCTACAAACAGTTAAATAGAAGAAAAAAATGGTTTTAGTCCAAACTAACATTTCTGCCAAGGACTGAGTTAAAATGAAAACTGGTAAAGTGAGGTCCAATAATGCAAATTTGAAGACTACACATAAGAAGTGGACTGCCATCCAAAATTAAGGTTTCATTATGAGGTGCTAGAATTATATATCAGGTGTTCTCAAAAACTTATTAATAAATAACTACAGTGCAAGTAAGTTTAGTAAGCTAAACTGAGGACATACTCTACTTCTGTAGATAAGGTAAAGATTTTGCTATTATTAATGTTTCATTAATATTTGAAGTTTCTGTGGGGAACGAGTTCCCACTCTCCCCCCTTTTAAAAAAAAACTCCAATGGCAGCTGTATATAATTAGTGAAAAAGATACTTACTCTCCTCTCCACACACACAGACTCCATAATTTAATACCAAATGTTTGTAAGAAAGCTGGCTCATCATACTTGCTGCCTCAAAGAAGGACTTTGAGAAAGAGAGAGCAAGAGAGAACCAATCAGTGAAAGAAAAACTTTGACATATTATTTGTAGAAAAAAATGCATATGGTTTAAATAATTTTTTTTAAAAAAACGATTCATCTCCCATCTCATTTCAAAGATTGTTTAAAATTTCATATTATTTATTTGTGGATGTTTTTTGTTTTGGTTTGTGCTTTTTTTAAAAAAAAAATTGATTTGCTCTTATTGTGGGGTTTATTTGTTTGTTTTAAAAAACAATCCACAATCTAGAAGAGTTAGCAGTCTCTTTTCCTGCAGGCAGATGCATCTCCGCATCTTAAAGAGAATCTTCTTTTCTATCTCAGTTAAGTAAACAATGAGCAAACTCACAATGCGCTATTCAGTTTCCAATTTATTCTTTCACAATGCACTATTCAGTTGCAATTTATTTCTTCATAGAACATTATTAATTTTTAACTTAACTTAAGACAAGAACTACTATATCCCTCATCCAGTATTGTGAGACCTTATCTGACCTTGTTAGGAAATCTTCAAATGCTTTAATCTCTTTAGTCATATTTTTTTCTTTTCAGTGGTATATTCAGCTATGCTTCCTTGTGTACAGATTGTTTCCCCAATGAGATGAGGCTAAAATTAGCATATTTTCCTTCAAGAGTCATATTTATATTTCTTTATTCTCAGAGCTACTTAAAAAATTTATTTTCACCCTATTCTAAAATGATGGCATATTATCCAATTTCTTAAAATATATGTTATTTTTATTATCATTTTTACTTTCATATGTTCAAAGGGTATGCCTATGTTGTTTTTGACACTAGCTCTTGGAAGTTTCTTCTCCTTTTCTTTAGTTAACATTTTAATTTAGATATGTTCTAAGCAGTTGAAAAGTTCACTGAATAAGAGACTGGTTCTCCTGACTTACTGCAAATGCTCTTAGGTTAATTAGGAATTTGAAACTATAATATAATCAGAATACACAATAAGTAGTCATATAAAGTTGCACTGAAATACTAAGAAATAGCACATCTATTAATTTTTTAAAATTAAATTTTCACATATGCATTCTTGAGTTTAATTACATTACCACTGTACTGCTTTCTGCAAAAGGGCATTTCAGGTCTGCTCACAGATTCACTCAAACACTAGAAGACTAATCAAATATGAGTGATACCACATATGGCAAGTGTTCCTCATATTTCTGATTTTTTATGTCCTGATCCGAAATACTTATTTTACAGGAGAACTAGTAAGACTCCAAAAACAAAACAAAACAAACCCCAGGAAAACAGACAACAAAAGGAAATTTTTTCCTAGAAGTTGATACCTCACACATAGATCATGAGTTTACTGGTACAGAATAGAGCAAGTTGTTTACTGTAAGAAAAGTAATATGGGATGGACAAGTACACTGCAGTTGACAATCATACCAACCTCAGAGTAGTTTCTATGCACTTTATCCAGAACCTTTAAAAGAACTTCAGTTTGATGGAGCTGGCCATAGTCTCCCACTTCTTTCCTTATACCTTTGAAAATCTTTGTAAATGTGCCCTGTCCAAGACTCTCTTCCTAAAAAGACAAAAAGCAGGAAAGGAAAAATGAGGAATCACTACTTGTTCTGTCAAAGTTCTGTCAACTTCCTCCATAAACAATGCATATAGGTGAAACTTTTTAGCTAGTCTACCTCAAGAGTTGAAGCAGGTATACCTTGAACAATTTAAATCCTTGCTAATTTTTTAAAAAAGTTACTAACTTGTAAAGGATCTTAGGTAACAAATTGCTGAAAGAACCACAGAGGAAAACAAAACAAAAACAAACAAACTACCACTGCAGTCTAAAGGACACTTTTTCTTTTTTAAGGAAAAAAAACTCTTTTAAATGCACACAGAGTTTTTATTTAGTACTTACTAAACCAACCATTTGCAATGAAAGAAGCAACTAAGGGACTTACAAAAATCAAGTCCTCATTCCGGATTTTGTGAAAGACCATCTGGCTAACATTGTGCCTCTGCAACATTGGTGATGAAGGCACGTCAGAGACGCTATTGCTTCTAAAGACAAGGAGGTTTGATTTATCTGGGAGAAGAAAGAGAAGAAAAGTTAAGCCATAAAATATAAAAATCACATATTCAGAAGCTGTAAATACAAAAAAAAAAAAAAAAAAAAAAAAAAGCAACATCAATGTGAGAACAATTCATTTTAAAAGCTATAGAGTGTCTTGGTTAAATAATTCACTTTTTCGGATTAGCAAAAACTGCTCTTACTGCTTCTCCTACTCCTACTGTTTCTGTACGGCACTGTTTCCTACGGTAATTAAGAATATAGTTTCAGTTCTAACAATGAAACTGTGATGGCTATCAATGCTGTTGAGAAGGCCATGTCAAAACAAAGTAAAAACAGGTAAGTGGAATGAAAAGAACCCACGTAAGCCAATATGCGTACTTATCTATCTGAAAGCCATTTACTTTGTTGTTTACAATTTATAAAGACTTAAAATATTCTTGTTTAGAAATAAACTATCCTTTCTTACCTTTTGGTTTTGGAGGACAGCACTTGATGAACTGGAAAATGATGCTGTCTGAGCGGACAGTTTCTGTCTGATAACAGGTCAATAGATCCTTAAGATTACCAAAACTTCTCTTGGTTCCACTAAGATTATATTCCCCATTTTCATTCTTCGTAATTAAGCAGTGTTTATAGTCAGTGACATTCTCACGCTGCAGAGATTTTTTTCCGTCGAAAAGAAAGTTGATCAATACTCAGCCGTTAAAAAAATTAAATGTACAGCAGTAACCTAAAGAACCCACCCTTCAATGAAATATTACCACGATTTGTTATTTTGTTACTCACTACATTGTGTAACAGTGATTCTGAGGGGGGAAAAAAACAAACAACAACACAAACGCAGCCAAGATTCTACCTCCCTCCCTGAAAATAGTATGTTGGCACTGAGATGAACATACATTAACAAATCTCCAAATATTATGCTGAGAAAACATAAAGGAACCCAGAAAAGATTCTTCATATCTTCAGATCTAGCAACCAAAGTTCCTTCACTGTTACATGGGGTAATAAAATAGAAAAATGTTGGAAGCCATAGCCCAAAAGCTCAAACTTTTTCATTTTGGCAATTATTTGGAGATCTAAGGTGTATTTCTGTTTTTCTGCAGTGTACAGTGCAGTTCTAAACAATTCATTCCTAGTGCAGTAGGCTCTGAATATGCACTGAATTATTTGGATGAATCTTGAAAATATACCATTAGACGTTTTTAATTAAGAGGAGTTCTTAATAATGCTTTCATAATCCTTCATGTTAATGCTGTGAAAAACATTCCAACAAATTCCAACAAATCTGAAAAGTCTTTTAATGGCTTGCCCAGAAATAATTAGAACAAGAAAAACAAACATGACCAGGTCAGTTAATGGCAACCTTGATGCAGAATTTGATCCTAAACTTGCTCAGGGACTAAAAATCCTTAATACAGTTCACTAGCTAGACATAAATTTTTTCTAAAACTGATCTTAAAAATGACTCTTTACTTCTCCACCCACAAATCAACATTATCGTATCATGTTCAAACGTGTACCTACTTGTGGCAGTGTTGAGTAAATCTGATAGCTTCCTGCAAAACTAGTAAGAAAAGCCATATATGGTACTTTCTCCAGCTAAAAAAGCCCAAAGGTAGCTCTGTTCATTTGATTAAAAATAATCCCACCCTTGGAACAAGATCATGCAATTATGTAACAGCACTATTAAAGTGCTGCATTATCACTAGCTGCAATCTCACAGAGTAGATGAACATCTGGCTTTTCAGCAGCACAAGAATTTTGCAGGCATTTCAAGTGCATGCTTCTCATCTAGTTTACAGCAGATATCCTGAAAATACATGCTGACATAACAAGCACCAGATAATCTGGCTGGATGAAGGTACGACTCAAACCTATAAAAACTCATCAATGAGAGACAACTTTATATGACCACAGAAATCAATTGTATACTCAGTAATTAAGTCCTACTGTGCCAGAAACAACAGAAGTTGCCAAAATCCCCACACTACCACCCAAACAATTACAATAGTTTGAACAGTCACATTCCAAACCCCAAAACTATCAAACTCTCTTTCCTCCACCTTTTTTGGTTTTGGGGCATATATTCTGTGCCAGTGATTCTTTATCATAAATTTATGTTAGTATGTTTCTCATAAGACCCTGAAATTAGGCCTATCTGACACAAGTAGCTGTAGAATAAACACACATCATACCACCATTCTGAAAAGAAAATCCAGAATCATTTACTGAATTTCCCATGCACATTATCACAACATAACAGAAATTATAGAAGTACTGTCCATGCCAGAATACAAACCTCAATAGCAAATGTGAGGAAGTATTTTTTAAAATCTTTAGGACTGCAACGAAGAACGTAGAAGCCAGTCTGATTACCTGCCTTCTTCAGTTTATTGATAGCAAAGTCCATGCTATATGTAAAAAAAAAAAAAGATTAATACTGCATAATTTTAAAGAACAAGACCAGACAATGAATTATGAGCACTATTATAAGATATCTCATACAATGACAATACAAATTCTGAGTCTTAGACTCTCCTTTAAGATAATTCATTTGCCTCTCTGTTTTCCAGTAGTCACAATGGCTGCTTATGTACAAAAGAATGCAGTAAAGATTCTTAACACTTCAAAAATCAATGATCTATTTGATCAAAAACATGGCAGTCTGAAAAGGCATTGCCTTGTGCTTATGATATGATTCTGAATTTCCAACATGGAAGAACCTGTTCAAGTGAAACTGTCTGATAAACAAGCTAAGATTAGAGAAGCATTTGTGTACATGGAAAATGACTAGGTTAGTTTGGGAAAGGGCTAATAAGAAACAGGATTTGAAAGAAAGCTTCTTTTGTTACTACAGCAACTAATCTCTCTCTAAACAAGTCATTGCTAACTATTTCTATCTATCTCAAGGAATTACAAAGAGAATGGTGTGGAAAGTTCTGTACTTACAGTACATCGTGCTAAATAATTCTAAATAAAAATTAATATATGGTATTAGTCTAGGTCTGCAAGGTGCAAAAGACATGTTTTGAAATGTAAGTCTCTGTTCCTCTTTTCCTTCATCTCCCCTCATATGTACAGCACCTATACTTTGTCACTGGGAAATTTCCAGAAGCATTCTGTATTAATGGAGTAGGATGTGCTAGTTTTATGTCTACATCTTGTAGATATCTGCCTTTGAGCTTTCTGTTCCTAAAGCTAATACCCATTTTTTTCTTCCTAAGAAAACATTCCTAAGCTCCCATCTTAAGAAAAGAAATCTAAGAAGGTACTGAGATTCTTCCCTAGAAATACAGAGAAAGAGAAAAAGGAGACAAGATTCCTTGAAAACAAGCAAACCCTCAAATTTATATGGACAGCACTTTACTGTATTTGAATTGTCTTTTTAGCAACTCAAATAGTATAACTGATAGAGGCTGCAGTTAAAACATGAAGTCCTCTATGGCGTTATACATTGCTGCCCTGATAATAACTGTAATTCAGTAAAAGTCAGCACCATGACTCTGCTGCGCCTTGCTTGAACAAAAGACAAAATTCTAGGGGAAGAAAATTAAAGCCACAATCCTTTGTTCTATTTCTGATAATATATCAACAATGTATTTTATTCTGCAAAGTGAAAAATGAGGGAAAATATAAAGCATTTTGTTACATAAGTGAAATAAATGCACAGCTTAAGACATCCATCATGGTTCACAGCCAGCTAAAAATCATCCTTCAAAAATAACAGCACCTTGTTATATCACTAAAATTTGCTTACAAAATTGGTCCATGGCAATTGCTTTGTATATTTTCAAGCACTGATGGTGGTGCTACTTCTTTGCAGAGATAATGGTGGGCATCTGCAGTTAATCTGTAATATCCATCAATTAACGATACAAAGGAGAGAGCTTCTCTTAAAGACTGAAATTCAGCCTCCTGTTAAATTGCCAGGGGAGAGAAAAGAGAAAGAGAAGAGAAAGAATGAGAATTTGTAACAGTCAATGCAAATTTCCAGAATTTAAGAGAATTTTCATGGCTTATAATTAAGGAAAGCACCTTTCTCCTATCCAAAATATTTTCATACTCTGAGCACTGTAAATGTATATCACAGATATCTCAGCTACTTTTATATTTCTATAAAAGGCCTGGACAAATCTTCAAGTTCTTAACGGGTCATTAATTCTGTACCACAAACATTAGAAATTAAAGAGACTCACTGTTCTTCCATACATCAGTGAACCATATGACTTTTGTCCAAAAGCCATGTTAGGAAGACTAAAAACTGACTAATGTTTTTTGAACTATTTTAAGGGTTTTTTTTAATTACATTTTTTATGAAGAAGTGCATAAGATGTATGTAGCTTTCTCATGTGAACAGTGGGAAGCTCTCTGATCACAAAAATAGAGAAATTGTGAGTTCTGAGGACCTGCAGACCAGTCATGGAGACAAGGAAAGAAAACTGTTTGGCACTTGAATCAGACTTTCCAGCAGGTGGCAAGGGAATTTCTGGATGTCAAACTAAAACAACTTTTTACACTCACATATAAAATTACTTTCCAGTATCTTCTTCAAAGCATTTTAAAAAGTAGAAGCAATGACATTAATTTTATGTCCATACACATTTTTTAAAAAAAGTATTATCATTTCTCCAGAGTATTTTGACCCCTTTTCAATTTTTTGGACACTGGCAGCCAGCTTAATCATGACTTCATACAAACAGTATGCTAGATGGCTAAAACACAGACTCAGATTTCGGGCTCCAACAAAGAAGAATCAATCTATCCACAATCATCCTAAGCTAGAATTGTCTACATTAGTCCACACACAAGATCTTTTAAAACACTGCTTATATTGCAAAAATGCATTCAGTTTTACCTCATGCTTAATTAACGACTAATATTTTGTTATATAAAATCATTAACACTAAAGTCTGCTCAAAGCAACATTTATATGGAAAACAAAAATGGCAAGCAAAGGTAAACAGACCAGATTCTTGCTGTCTTGTTTGTGAATGGTGACAATTCTCCTCTCACTGGAACCTTCTTGACTTGCTTGTTTAATGCTCACATCAATGATATCAGGAAAATCACAATATGTTTGTAACTCCTACAACAAATAATTACATAACCTCATCATTAACAAATTTCAGCTGAAAAAACCCCACACCTATTTGTAGTATTAGAATTCCTACAACACTAACCTTGTGAAGTTAGAAATGAAGAGGCTCAACAAGTCTTAAACACACTAACAAAATTAATTAATAATAAATTTGAATTAATTAATTAATAATTAATTTTAACATCCTGATTAGAGAGCCTGTTAACATTTCAGAACATGATGTCTTCATTTGCAGGAATGGAAGCTGCAAGAGCTGGTACCAAAGAGACGGAGATAGAGAAAATGCTTAAGAAACGATCTTCTTAGCTATGGCCATCTCTGACCAGGTAAGAAGATTTCCACCGAGGAAATCTATGACTTTTTCCTTTGGTGGCAGTTCAGGGAGTTTTTGATAAAATAATATATAATATTCCTAATTTCCTCAAGTCTTTCACACATTTAATTACCATGTCAAATAGGTAATAGCTTGTTTTGTTTTCAGCAGAACTTTAAATGGTAAATAACATCTTAAACTATTCTTCCAAAGCAAATTCATTCTATTTTTAAGGCTGCAAGTGTATCCTAATACATGTGTCATACCACTGAATGTCATACTACTGAATTGATTATCAGAAGTCATGAATCAACTCAAACACATTTAAGACCCTGAAGATCTATTAATTATTAAATGTGAACTGGAAAAACACATTTCCTTATAATTAGCCACACGTATGCTGTTACCAACTTCAAAAAATTAAAAATCTTGTTTCAATTCAACATCCCAATAAACTCGCATCAGTAAAGTCTGCTGAAAGTTATGATCACTTTTTCAGTCAACTTTATTCCTTCATTAAATTTTCACAACATATTTTGTACACAGCTTCTGTACCAGTGAAAATACATTCGGCCAACATGCTGTCTTTGTCACTAAGGATGTAATATTATCAATTACAAAAAATAGTTCTGAAATAGCCATTTGAAAAGAGATCAGTTTGGACACTATACTTACTAAAGGCTTAGTTGCCATGACAACACAGTATGCATAAGTTCTATGCAACGAAAACTAGAAACCCAACATCAGCTCCTGCAAGAGCAACTAGCGACTACAGAAAAACTGCACAAGGATGAGGACTGACACATAATGTAAAGGAAATTACTGGACCTAGAATGAATCTGCAAACATTCCAAGAAAAAAAGTAGAAAATCTGGTTAAGTAATCAGATTTATTTATTTATTTATTTATTTATTTTTAAGTTTTAGGAGAAAAATGGCATTTTTAAAAGTTATAGTATATTATAAACATGTTACCACTTTTGTAGTTTGGTCTGACTGCTACACATTATGCATTAAAACTACCAAGCAATAGATGTAATTATTTTGGAAAACTGACATCTGCTTCACTTTGCTTTTAATCTTACCTTTTGAAAATTCCCACACTCTTATTGTACACAGCTACTGTGTAGATTTTGGTACATTTTACCAAAGAATAGTCATGCTGAGAAACCATACACAAAAGAAACAATAGAGATAAATAAAAATACAACAGTATAAGACCATGACAAGTTATTGAACCACTTAGGTCTTGAAGAAAGAGTAAACAGACTGCAGTTACAGAAACATCTCTTTAAATTTGCTAGTTTAGATACTGGTAAGAGTCTAAGTAAAGCAATCTAAAGGTAAAGTGGAATTTGTCTTGTTTTTCTGGATCCCATAAAGTCCTGATTTCAAACAAAATTCAAGGACAATATGCATTTTATTGAACATAAATTTTAACAAGCTAATCAAACTATCAATGACAAACTGTGCAATTATTAAAATAATGAAGTAGATACATTCAAAGAAATTACCTGCTCTGCCAGTGTCTCACAGTTTTTAAGTTTTCCTCTTGAGCACTGAATTCCACCATTTCCAGTTATTACAATAGTTGCAAAACTTTCTTCTCCAGAAGGATCTCCACCAGGTTCTTTTACTTCAAAAACCTCTGAATAGAAGGCAGACTGAAGGGTTTCCAAATTTATGAGATACTTAAGTTTCAAGTTCCTGGCAGTAGCTTTGCACTGACTGAACTGCTGTATGAATTTACGGAACCTGTACCTTATTCTCTTTCGGGTCAAAATGTGGTATTCTTGGATCTTTGCTCGCACACATTTAGGCAGAAACATTTTGTAGCTGTGAATATATAACAAGAAAAAAAAAAAACAAACAAAAATAACAAGTAAATAAACAAAAAACACAACTAATGATTTAATCCATTAAATCCAGCAAAGGTATCTACCTCTGTGCTGAACAAGACAATGTGAAAAAACATTTTCCACTAAATGTAACCTTTTTAAGCTCTAGGATAACAAGGATTCTTTCTTCAGCCTGTAATACAATCTTTCAAATACAGCCTTATCTCTTTTTCCATTTTCCTTTTTTGCCCCCCCCTCAACTTCATTTGAACAGATACTACATTATGCATTTTCCATATACCTAGACACCAGTTTAAGACATTATTTAAGCCTGAGGCAAGACAGAAAACAAACAAAAAAACACACACACAAAAAAAAAAACAAACAAAAAAACGCAAATTACAGAGTTGCTTTGTTTAGTGTATAGAGTGGAAAGAAGATGCTCAACAAACAGAATTTAGAGTTCATTATGGTAAATACAATAGGTGGTAGAACACAAGTAATGTGTTAAATGGGTGGTAGAACACAAGTAATGTGTTAAATAAACTGCTGATTCTCAAATAAGTATTTCATATCACTGTCTATCTTGGATCAAAAGACAAAAAAGTAGTTTGACACCTCCAATCAGCTGGTCAATCTGTTGTCTCATTCTATGTAACTCTTTCTGCTAGCCTCCATTAAAAGACAAATATAAAGAATGAAATACCAAGCAGAGACAGAATTCACTCAGCTGAAGCAGAAACTGATTACTTTGACAAATTGGAGTGTACTGAAGCAAGTTTAGTGGAGATTTGTCAGAGATAGTTAAGAGCCTGGAACACACTATATATGAATGAAAAGACTTATGGAATTTTGTACAGTGTGGAGAAAAGGCCCCAGTAAGGTGTTCTAGCAATTGTCTTCAACTAACTAGTTATGGAGAAAACCGATGTAGGATTTTCACAGACATGCACAGTAATAGGACAAGAGGTATTGTACATGTGGTATCACAGAGGATAGAACCGATCAAATGAGGAGAAAATTCTCCCCAGTAAGGATGATAATACATATATCAAAACTTCCCAAAGGTATGGTGGAATCCTCATCCCTGGACATTTTCAGAACTTTATGCCAAGGCCCTGTGCAACTTGATCTCAACTTTGAAGCTGGCCCTGATCTGACCTGGAAAAAATCCATGTACTGAAAAACAAAAAAGAATGGCTGTTGTGATACAAGCTTTCTATTGATCTCAAGCGTAAATTTATGGAACCGATATGCAAGGCTAAATCAATCCCCAGTAGTTAAATATCTTCACACAGCTGGCTATGTCATGGCTTTTCATAGGTATTCAATACCATGACATCATGCAGTGAACTGTCAGAGCTAGAATGGCTGCTGAGGAACTGCAGTTCCTGGGAACAGTTCCCAGCAGCTCCAGTATTCTTACATTGTTTCCATGGCCTTATTTCTGGCCAAATTACCATTTGCAGCACAGTCAGAAGGTGTTTCTCTCCCCCCTTTGCTTATTACCCTTGATTTTGTATTGTATTATCTCACATTCTTTTATAATTTCTAGTAAATGAGCTTCTCTCTAACTCACTTGAGCTGTAATCTCTCCTTTTCATTCTCTGCCTTCTTCCTGCAGGGGAGGGGGAAGGGAGGCCCACTTGCTGTGGGACAAAAGATCTTCAACTCATGACAGACTAACAAGCAAAATTAATATTTATAGATAGCAGGTGTTACACAGTTATGAACTACTGAGTTACCTGACTGAATTGTAAACAGCCAGTGGGGTTTGGTCCTTTTCCTTGGCCACCCTCATCATATCCAGAACAGCCATTCCCAGGCATTCTTCCTGCGTTTCATGAGTAACAGGCATCTGTATCCATCCACCCAAAAAATCATCTCGCCACTAAAGAAAAATGCAAGAAAGCAACTTAAATTATTTGTTCATGAACTGCAGCGATATAGTTTTATTTGTTGGTTTTACTATTTATTTTACAGATCACATTATTTAAGTGAAACTTTTCATATCCAGAGAACTACATATGCTCATATTGGACACTAGATACAATAGTGACTAAATGTCCTTGATTAAAATCTTGACTATGTCTGTGTGTCACAGAGCCACAGAATATCCTGAATTGGAAGGGGAGGGAAGACATCATCAAGTCCAAATCCTAGCTCCACAAAGGACTATCCAAAATCAGATAATATTTCTAAAGCACTGCTGCTTGAACTCCAGCTGGCTTGATGCCATGACCACTGCTTTGGAAAGCCTGATCCGGTGACTGATCACCCTTTGATGAAGAGCCTTTTCCTAACCCCAAACCTGAGCCTCACCTAACACAGCACTGTACCATTCCCTCAAGTACTGTTGCTGTCAGTAGAGAGTAGAGGTCAGCATTGCCCCTCTGCTCCCCTGATGAGGAGCTATAGGTTACCATGAGGCCTCCCCTCAGCCTCCTCTTCTCTAGGCTAAGTAAACTAAGGGACCTCTGATGCTCTATATACATCTTCCCCTCTAGATCCCTTATCTTTGTAGCGCTCCTTTGGACACTAATAGTTTTATATCTTTACATAGTGTCATCCAAAACTGCACACAGTGCTCGAGGTGAGGCCACACCAGTACAGAGCAGGGTGGGACAATCCTTCCCTTTGACTGGCTGGCAATGATGTACCTGATAAACATGAGGGCATGGTTAGCTCTTTTGGTTGCCAGTACATATTGCTGTCTCCTGTTCAACCTGCCATCAACCAGAACAGAGATCCGTTTCTGTGGTGCTGCTCTCTAGACTCTCGTCCCCCAGCTTGATACATATATCTAGGATTGTAGAATCTGACACTTCCTCTTCTTATACTTCATATGGTTGATGATTGTCCAGCTCTATCTCTCAACATCTCTTTGAAAGGCCTTTCTACCCCTTTAGAGAGTCTACAGCTCCTCCTAATTCAGTCTTGTCTGCAAACTTAGTATACTTTCCAGTCTTTATCCAAGTCATTGATGAAAACATTAATAACAGGCCCTAAAAATGGAAGATTCCAGAACCGCACACTAGTGATTGGTCACCAGTCTGATCTCTAGCCCCACGTACTTCAAAAAAATTTTTAAAAGCCCTATTATCCCCTTTGATGGTCAGTTTCAATTCTTATTGAGGTTTTTTGTTTGTTTGTTTTTTGTTTTTGGTATAAATTTTCTCCCTACAGAAGGGAACAGCATTTCTATACTCCTACAATATTGCCTAACCTCACTTTCAGTGGCCACATACTTTCTTTTTTTTTCTGCCTGAGCTCTAGGTGAAGATCCCTGTTGAGCTAAACCAGCTTTCTGCCCTGCTATGTTGACTTCTGACACTTTGGAATTGCTTGTTCCTGGGCTTTTAAGAGGTGGTACTCAAAAACAGTCCAGCACTGATGAACCTCAACACCTTCAAACTAGTTTCCCAGCAGACACTTCTAACCAGTTTCCTGGGCAGCCTGAAGTCTGCTTTCTTCATATCCAAGGCTGAAGTCTTGATGGCAGTTTTCACCCTGCTACTAAAGATTATAAACTATACAACATCACAGTCACTATAGTTAAGACAGCCACTAATTGGCACTTCAGTCACAAGACCTTCTCGGTTCACAAGCAGCAAATCTAGTAGGGCATCTTTTCTCATTGGCTCCCTTGGTACCTGTACTAGAAAGTTATCATCATGGTGTATTAGGAATATTCTGAATCTGTCTGTATCAGCTGTGTGGTATTCCCGATTTAAGTATGACAAATCAAAGTCACAAGGGCAGTTGATAAAGAGATCTCTTATTTCCTTCAATAATGATTCACTGAAGTTATCATCCCACCTGGAAGACATATAATAAAATGGATGCCATTTGAAGGTCTATTTGCTTGTCCCTTAATCCCTACCCCAAGGCTCTTAACCATCTCACTGCAAACTGCAAGCTTCATACACTCCAGGCTCTCACTCACACCCAGCACCAGATTTCTACTTCATATGCCCTGCCTATGTCCTTCCGTTGATGAGTCTACAACCATCCCTCATCACACAGCAGTGCCAGGACTCTTCCCAACTACTTATGCCAATAATGCCCTCCAATTTTGGTATGTCATTCCATAACTTATTGCTGGTGAGACTGGCTTTATTCTTTACCCCTTCAAAACTAGTTCAAATCTCTATCAATCAGTTCTGCTAGCTCAAGCACAGAAGTCTCCTTCCCACCCTCTGAGAAAGGTGCATCTCAGTGGTTGCCAGTGAGTCTCATCTTGAGAAGGCTATCCCATGATCAAGAAACAAAATTCTGCAGGTGACACCTGCCTTGGAGCCACCTAGTCAACAGCTGTATCTGCCCGTTCCTTTCAACATTGCTCCAGGCTTCTTGGAGGATAGAGAAAAACATACCCCCAAGGCCTTGAACGTCCCTTCTGATTTCCCTTGGACTTTTTTGCTACCTCACCACCATGGACACGAAAACCAACTAATATGCATTAAGCAGAGAATCACACCAGGGTAGTGAGTTTTCTAGTGATGTTTCTTAGGATGGCAATAGACTTTCCTATGGTTTGAGCCTGTTTGGTATATGAGACCCTCTGTTCCTCTCAGAAAGGAGTCACCTATCACAACCCTTCTTGTATCAACAGAGGTGCTCATGATATGGGAGAAAGGCTGTCTAGCCCTAGGTGACCCCTGCAACCTGGACGAACCTTCATCTACATCTATCTGCTCATCAAATTCCAAAGCTTCACTCCTTATGTAAAAGGGCACCTGAATGAGAGGGTGAGATAGGCAGGGGGAGATTCACCTGCCACCCCGAGCAGAAACCTGCCTCTATTCTCCTCTCTCTCTTAGTTACCTTCCTTCCTCCTGTTTTCAAGAAGAGAGACAGCCCTTCATTTCTCTTATTGTGGTCAGCTAATGCATCTGTCTTGGGGATGGTAGGGTACAGCTCTGCTAGTCAGTCTCCTTCAACTTCCTGATGTTCATCAGCCCACTCGTCTCCTCCCAAAGCTCTGTCCACAGGCTGAGCAGTACTTCCATCTGGGCATATTTCCTGCAGGTGTGCTCATTGCTGCCACCAGACACTGATGAAAAGCTTGGGCACACCCTGCAACCTGAGACCTAGATTGCTTCATGTTCCTTCAGGAACTCTGCATAGCTGCACCAGTTTCTGTGGCTGGAAAGGCTATAAGTGTCACAGAAGACACAACTATCTGTTGAATGGATACCATAACCAGAGCTGTTGGAAATGGCAGACAGACAGCAACTTGTCAGACAAACTGCAATGCTAACATATGTGGAGCATGTTGTTCCACATTATAACAGTCCAATATGGAAGTCACAGTGAAAGATTTTCACGTGGTGGAACTGGATGGGAACTGAACAATCTCCCTGCTCTCCCACAACCGCCATTTGAACTTCACCTCTGCAGAAATACAATGCAACACAAGCTTTAATTTTTCTGTTTAAAAGCTTCAAGCTGTCAAAAGAATTTGCATAACTACTATTAGAAGTGAAAGGGAGAAATATCAACAACCCTTATAAGTCTGCATTTTAAAGATATAATTAAGATAATCATACCTGTGCAAATAGGTAAGACATGACAAGATCATCAAGAACAGGGCTTTCTGAGCCCCGAATAATGCCATAGCGATATGCTCTGCTTGTGCCATTGCAATACCAGTGGGGAAAATAAAACCTGTTAAAAAATATTTAAGTAAATGACAGTGAAAATACACTCTTGTTTACCAACACCAGAAATTACATATTTCGTAGATCTAAAGTAAGTGCTGGCTGTTCTGAAAAGTCAATATTAAGCCTTCCAAAGTCAACAGAAGGATTTGATCTAGTTATTGGTGTGTAGTACAACACTTAGGGGGTGAGAAGCCGCACTGGTAAAAACAATGAGCTCTGCAAATCTACCCTCATCTAATCAGAATACAGAGGATCTTGTGTTACTCTTCCAGTTTCCTCTAAGACAATTCCTAAAGAAACAATCAAGTTATCAGTTTACATTATGCAATTTAAAGAAAAAGCAGTCTTTTCCCTAAGGAAAACGGTGACTATAGATTTAGAAGCCCACATTCAGAAATCAGGGTAGGCAAAAATGGATGTACTAGAGACATCCACCAAATATCATCATTCTGCATTTCAGAACTCCTACTGACTCCAAATGGGCAAGTAAGGAGATGGAGATGTAGTACTCTTAAGAGCAATATTATTTTAATTCCTCATACATTTGAATTGTTTCTTTCTCCAATCTGAAATGTAATACATATAATATGCATACAACTTAAATTACTTGATTTTTATTCTCTCATCTATCTTTCATCCAGATCTCACCAACAATGTCTGTAACAGAGAAATTACAGTTCATCTAAATGCCTTATTGACTGTATTTTCCTCACACAGTTCTGTACTATCATGAAAAGTGTGTAACATTTCTTTGGATTACCTTATCCGGTACAGTAGCATTATTCTGGTTGCTTCATCTACGTGAAAAATGTGATTCGGAGGATACCAAACTCTATCTGTTTCACTCATGAGTGCAAACATGTTATGATACACTGGCATGATACCTAAATAAAGAACAGAGAAATATTCATAAGAATCTATTTTCACAGAGAATCAATCTTACTATGAAAAATACATTGTTAAAAGCAGTAGATAGCACATGTTCTCCAACTATTATTACACTGCTCTACCACTGTCAACAGCATTGCAGAGATCATCTTAAAACCCGCAGATTTTTTCCTGGTTTATTTTCTCATTCTTTAACAAGATTGTACGTGTTACTCTATTCTTAATGTTCAAATTGTAAGATTTTATCTGAATGGCATTTTATACAATGGATTATCAGCCTTTTCGTTCAAGAAGTAACAATCAACAACAGTACATTATTTTTCTGTTACCTTTTCCAAAAATCAAATCTAGCTATTGATTTCATTATTCCAGGCTGATGAGTAATCAGAGGCCATCATTACTAGAACAACCTGCCATTTACACTTCTGTAGTTCAGTTAAGAACAAAACCAAATGTACAAAAATGGATTTTTTTTTTTCCCCTCAAAAAGTTTCAGAACTCTTTCAGTGAGAACTGAGAATCAATTCTACTTGTAAGCTGTGTAAATCTGTGAAGCACCAGATCTTCAGAAGCACAAAATTATAATTTGCCTTTGAGGCTTCTAACTGCAGGGTACAGCCTAACTTGAAAGACAGATGACAGAGTTCTGTAATATATCATACTGTTGTGTGACCAAGAAATGCCAATGTTATGATTTGAAAACAGGTTAGATATCCAAGACTTTGCAGCATTAAAGAAAGAAATTCAACCACTGGCAAATTTTCAAGACATAATGGGATACAGGTGCACAGATCAGAGAGTAGGATAAAAGTTGTAGTGTGAAAGTGAAGGTAAGGAAATGAAGCTGAGGATTTTGATAGTTTGCTGAACATGAGACAACATATGCCCAGGTAGCCAAGGCAGCCAATGGCACCCTTGCTTGTATAAGAAATAGTTTAGTCAGCTGGAGCAGGGAGGTGATTGTCCCCTAATATTCTGCTCTGGTGAGGTTGTATCTCAAGTACTGTGTTACGTTTTGGGGCCCTCACTACAAGAAAGACATCAAGGCCCTGGGCCATGTCCAGAGAAGGTCAGGGAAGCTGGTGAGGGATCTGGAGCACAAATCCTACGAGGAGTGGCTGAAGGAACTGGGATTGCTCAGTCTGCAGAAGAAGAGGTTCAGCGGAGACCACAATAGCTCTCTACAACTACTTGAAGGGAGGCAGTTGGTGAAGTGGGGGACAGCGTCTTCTCCCACATAATTTGTGATAGGACTGGAAGGAACAGTCTTAAGTTGCACTGAAGGAGGTTCAGGCTGGATATTAGAAAACATTTATTCTCTGAAAGAGTGGTCAAGTGCTGGAAAGGGCTGCTCAGGGAGTTTTTTGAGTCACCATCCCTGGATGTATTCAAAAAAACATTTAGATGTGATACTAAGGGACATGGTTCAGTGGGAAAATATTGCTAGTAGGAGGACAGTTGGACTAGATGATCATACGGGTCTTTTTCCAAACTTGGTGATTCTATGATTCTATTCTATGAAATAAACACAAATATTTTAAATACCTCACAGATAGTGAGAACAAATGCAATTGCAAATAATATTAAGAGACACAAGAATTCTGGCAAGAGGCAAAATACTAAAAATCAATTCCATCCTGAAGGAATGTGATTTAGAAGGAAATCACAGAAATTCACACAGAAATCAGAGAAAAAAAAAGTTTTTTTATAGAGTTCACAGAATCACAGAACAACTTGGGTTCAGAGGGATGCCAAGGACCATAAAGCCCCAACACTCTGGCCACAGGCAGGGTTGCCAACTGCTAGCTCAAACACTAGATCAGACTGCCCAGGGCCCCATCCAAACTGGCCCTAAACACCTTCAAGAACAGAGTATCTACAATCTCTCTGGGCAACGTTTTCCAGGACCTAACCACACTCAGTAAAAAAAAAAAAAAAACTTCCCTGACATCTAATCTAAATCTTCCTTCCCTTAGTTTAAAATCATTCTCCCTTGTCCTATCACTATCTACCCATGTAAAAAGTTGATTTCCCTCATATTTATAAACCTCCTTAAAATATTGGAAGGCTGCAATGAGGTCTCCCTGCAGCCTTCTTCTCTTCCATTTTGAATAAGCCCAGTTTCTTCAGCCTGTCTTAACAGGAGAGGTGCTACAGTCCTTGGAACATCTTTGTTGCCCTCCTCTGAACTCTCTCCAAAAGCTCCACATCTTTCCTGTGTTGGAGGGCCCAGACTTACAGATGCAGTATTCCGGGTAGGTTGTCATAAGGGCAGAGTAGAGGGGGACAATCACTTCCCTTGCCCTGTTGGCCACTCCTCTTCTGACAGAATCCAGATATTATTGGCCTTCCAGACTGCAAGTGTGCATTGCTGGTTCATGTTAGGTTTTTCATCAACCAGGAGCTCTAAAGTCCTTCTCAGCAATGCTACTCCCAAGCAGTTCTTCTGATTTGTATACGTATCTGGGATTACCTTGACTCAAGTGCAAAACCTTCCACTTTACTTTATTGAATCTCATTATGTCCACCAGGATCCACCTTTCAAGTTTATCAAGGTTCCTCTGGATGGCCTTCCTTTCTTCTGCTCTATCAGTCATACCACTCAGCTAGGTGACATAACAAACTTGCTGAGGGTACATTCAATCCCATCATCTGTCTCAATGATAAGGAATATTGTTACCAAGATGGACCCTTGTGGGCACTGCTTATTACCAGCCTCCACTTGGACATACAGCCACTGATCACAACCCTCTGGATGCAAACTTCCAACCAATCCCTTATCCACAGAAAAGTCCACACTTCAAGCCTGTATGTTTCCAGTTTAGAGATAAGGATGTGGTGGGGGACCATGTCAAAGGCCTTGCACAAGTCCAGGTAGGTGACATCAGTTGCCCTCTCTTTGTCCACTGATGCTGTGTTCCATTACAGAAGGCTACCAGACTAGTCAGGCACAACCCTTCCCCTGGTGAAGCCATGCTGTCTGGTTGGGATCATCTGCTCATCCATCATGTGTCTTAACATGTCTTTCATGAAGATCTGTTCCATGATCTTCCCAGGCACAGAGGTGAGGCCCACCAGCTTGTAGTTCCCTGAGACCTCTTTCTTCCCTCTCTTGAAAATGGGAGTGAAGTTTCTCTTTTTCCAGTTCCCAGGGATTTTGCCTGTCAGCCATGACTTATGAAATATGATGGAGAGCATCTCAGCATCTACATCAGCCAGCTCCCTCAAAACCCTGTGATGCATGTTGTCTGGCCCCATGGACTTGCACACATTCAGTCTCATGAGATCACCTCAGACTTGCTCTGCCCTTACAGTGGCTGGGGGAGTTTGCTCCCCCAGTTCCCACTAGAGGTAACAATGTCTATGTGGAGGTAATTATTGAAGGAGGTAGGCCCCTTTCATCAAATCTAAAGCACATTTAATCAGTTAGAAACAAATGAATCAACTCTAGGTATAAAACTGCATAAGCACTTAGAACAAAAAGTAATTCACTCCTTAAGAACAAGCTTAAAATTGAGTATGTTGCCGCAGGGAGCCAGCAACAAGGCTAAGAGCAAGAGTTCTTATGTAGCTGTCAGATTAAGCTGTTGAAATCTACAGGCTAATCATCTGAGATAGCTCACCAAAACATGCCAGACCTAGATACTAACATGTGATTTTCAATGGAAGAAAATAGAAAGAACTATGTGAAGTAACCAAAGAGAAATCAAAACAAAAAAAAAAATCCCACATGAATAACTCTGAACAGATTAACAAATGAGGGATTGGGTGTAAATCAGGATGCAGCAAATTCATGGTGCAGTAAGAAATATGTGATCTTAAATTAAAATATATATATATATATATATATATATATATATATATATACCCAACTAATTATATTCTTTTCTGGAGTTAAGAATACGTCTATCCTAACCCTAACCCTATGCAACTGAATTTGGTTGTGAAATTGGATCAATTCATATTACAGATTACTAGTCTTCAAAGCAACAATAACTGACATTAGTTCTGAGTCTGTGTGTTGTATGTATGCCAAATTATCACAGAATATTTTACAATATAATGCAAATAAATTACCCACCTATTTGAGATTCTAGCCAGATGCTAGACACCATTGAAGACAGTGCTGAATATGTATGTAGTCTCATTAAGATATTACCCCATTAAAATCTGAAATAAGCTCACTGAACAATTCCAAGTAATTTTTAAATTCAAATGCTAAAGAGAAACACACATTTACACACAACACTTCAGTACTTCAACCCAGATGACATGATTGCTATTCTCAACAGAAATTGATTTCTTAAGTGAGGAACAGGACTTTGAAATTCTTCCTCCAAGGTGAAGTATTGTATTTAACAAAACAAAAAGAAGTCCACCTTTACTTCCCTCCTATGCTTAGGAAGTAATGTAAGCACTCATCCATCCTTCATACTTAATCATTTGTAATTCCATATGGTAATTGATATCTTTCACTGCCAGTGCCTGAGGACATATAGATCATCAAGAAGGGTATAGTTCATCAAGAAAGGGTATTAAACCTCTTAATTTCTAAGGAGGAAAGAAAACGTGGGGGAGAAGGAAATTATATATCTTTGCATCAGCATCAAAACATTGCCAGACTTGAAAAAATTTTGACCATAACGCCATTCAGAGAAAACCCATTTATTAGGGTCTTGAAAATTGTCCATAAAGGTCTGATGAAAGCAGAGTTCAAACACTTCCCTTTTCTTGTAAATTTTGGCAGCGCTACTAATTGCAGGGATTTTTCAAAGAACTAAGAATATCAGGACTTAAGTGCTTTCTAAAGAAACAATGAAAAAAGGAGGGGGAAGAGTGGGAAGAGGGAAAGGGTGCCTGAGCATCTAAGTCTTTTGATGAAACCTAGACAATTAACCAATGGTGAAAATTTCTGAGAAATCATTTTCAGTACAAGTAAAATCAGAAAAGCTGTTCCAAGAGGTATTAAAAACCTCCTCTAGTTTTCTACACTTCACTAATCACATTAGCAAATAAAACAATGAATAACAACAATGAATAATAGGCAACAGTGAATCAGACATAATAAAGTAGAATTACTCTCCACTTTTCATTCCTAGCAAGGCTATTAAACAAATTGTCTGGACTATGGCAAACAAAACCAGAACTGTCTCTTGGCAAGTATTTTGTTTAGTAGACAAAGCTAATATATACAAAAAAGCTATTATATACAAAAAAGCCACAGCACTTTATACCAGTTGTCAAGCAACATCATGAAAGTTTTTAACACAGCAAAGTTTTAATCCTCAAACTTCTACCTCAAGCCTAAAAAAAAACACAGCAAAAACATTTGCATAGAGCTCCTTCCTTTCCTCAGTGTGCTTTTATAGCTCCACATCTACACTGGTCATGCTACTTTTTTTTTTTTTTTTTAGCAAAAAATATAAATACTAAAAACTATTTAATAGTGTAATTTCATTTTAGATTAATTTGAAGGAGAAGAGAAAGGGAAAGGATTTAAGATGGTCATTTGCAAAAACAAATCTCAGATACCAAATTTAGAAAATGAACGCAATGATGCTATAACCACTAGAATAATTTTTTTTTGTATCTCATTTTGATAGTCAGTTACTTGTTCTAATAACATTTTCTCTCTTTGGCTAAGGCTTCCTTTCAATTTGATGCAACTATTTTAGAGTTGTCTTACATGGCAGATGACATAGGTAAGGGTGATTGCTGAAAACAACTCATTGATTTAAGCTTAAAATCAACTGTTCTGGTTAGAAAATTTGTCAGTTTTATGTTCTGACAATTTTTAATATCAAAATCCAAACAACCTACAAGAAGGTTTGTATTAATTATATTTTTCCCAAAATTGAAAGCTGTTTTTTTGTTTTATTTTGTTTTGTTTTGTTTTGAATAAAAAGAGGAAAAACCTAGCTACTACATGAATCTCTTGAACTGGCATTCAACTGCAGAATATTTATACAGAAGAAAATTTATATAGCTAATATATGCCATATACAGCAGATTTGAAGCCAAGCCAGCATAGATTGGAAAACCTTCGATTGTTTGACTTGTCTAAAAGGTACACAAGACTGCTTGCCACAAGCAGCAGTCATACTTTGACGTAACAGCTCTGCTATCAAGGGATCTAGCAATTGCTCAAATCATGGAGAAAGTTCATCAGTATTTTCCAAGTTTATTGCATCTCAGACATTTCTACTATCTAAACCACTCTCGTCTTTATGGAGTATACTGATTCATAGAAAATTCCTGAAAATTCTTGCCAGTTTAAGCATTCCTGGAGTACATATGCTACACAGACCTACATATTCTACCTACAAGCATAAAATCTCATCCAAAAAAGTGAAAATGATTAGAAGTGATAGTTTGTGATTTAAGAGCTGATAACTATTATGAAAAAGAAAAAGAAGCCCTACATTCAAAAACCATTTCAGTCTTTTCTGCCAATTCAAAGGCAATGAAGTTACAAATTCCTCTCACAATCTGGCAGCAAAATACTGCCATGTTAGCTGTCAGGCAGAAACCACTCTTCAGAAGACTTTCTCCACCTTAGCTTTAAAAGGATGAAGCCTCAACATAACAAAATATTTCATTTATAGAAGCAAGTACAACACCACTGCAAATATGAATTACAGACTGATACAGAATGATGTAACAATAGCTAAAAAGATAAAATCCACTCAGTAAGATATTCTGTTCATACAAAATTATTTCTTAAAATAGTCAGATGTAGAAGGATACATCTGGGAGCTAGAAACCAGTCAAACCCACAAAACAGAAGCTAGTACGCCAAATGCTAGAAGCCTTGAGAAGGACTGGTGGAGTCTGAGAAAACAAGAAACATGAAGTCTTTAGATAATGTCATGGGGAAATACAACTAATTGGATTCCTGGATTAGCAGGAATTATATCTTGCATGTTTGTGACTTGTACGAGTAGAATATTGTACATGGCCTGGTCTGCACATATTCATGGGAAATTGGAGATGGTGCAGAAGACACCATCTAAAGACATTCAAACTACTGAAATCCATAAAAAAACTTCATAAAATAAGATCTAAAGATAATATAATGATGGTAATGTGTCTCTCTAGCAGTGGTGATGGGGAAAAGATGAAAAAAACACGACTTCAAACAAACATCTGAAAACTGAAGAAAGGTGAATTTAAATTAGAGAAGAGGAAATGGAAATAAGAAGTAGACAAGAAATAACAGTAGAAGCAGCTAGTCAAACTATCAAGATAGTTACTATTCCAGTAAATTCAAACTAGGTTGCCTGCTTTTCTGGAAGCTGAGTTTTAAATAACTGATTTGTTAGAAGAGTTAGAAGAACTTATGAAGTTCTAGCTCTCTACGACAAAAATAACCTAGTCAAATAAATAGTAAGAAAAAGAAGGTACCTGATGTCATGGCTGATCACACAATATATTCCTTCAAAGACTTTGCTATTCTAACATAGACATACATCAAACATACTAAGTTTGATGTACACAAGACCTTATTACTTTAATATTCTGGCAAGTTGATATGAGAAGATTAAACTTAAAGAACATTTTATTCCTCCATTTTCTAGTGAAATCATTCTCTAGTTAATCCCCTCCGCACTAGTCCTTCATTACAGTAGCAGTTACATATTTTATGGGAATAAATATTATCTAATGTAAAAAATTCACCACTTCAGCATTCAAAAAGTGAAGAACCTCCTCCCCTATGCCAACTAGCCTTACATACTTATAAATACTGTACCTGAGAGCCTTACAGCCATGTGAGTATTAAAACTGAAGTCCAAAAACACCCACCAAAAACACTGTCAACAATGCTAAGTAATGTACTCTTACTAAAGAATTCACAACAATTGATAAGTCACTAAGAAGACGTTTTCCAAAGTGGGTACACATTTGTGACTCATTGGAAAACAAATATTTGAAATTATGATCCCTTTTTTTAAAAAGTCATTTGCACCTGAAATGTGGCATTTGGAGAACTAAAAGACAAAGTCTTGTACTATGAATAGTCCCAAAAAGAGACAGAGACACTGTGGATAATAAAGTCTCTTTAGTATCTGGACTTTGAGATTAATTTTTTTTCTTTCCAAATTGCCCAAATTCAGAGATTCAAGCTACAACTGCAATAAAATGAAAAATCCTTGCACAAAACACATTTAAGTTGTTTTACTATAGGTCTCAGCACCTATCCATGGTCTGGATAAATGTAACAATTCAAAGGCATTATTAACTAGACATATGATTATTTATTTATTTATTCTAAAGTTGATTATATACTTGTTGACTTTACTTTGTAAATGATTCAAAAAGGAAAAAGCCACAGACATAATGGTCATGTTATACCTTATATATCATTTTTCATCTAAAAAGTGATTCATTTATAGTAAATAAATAAATAGTAAAGTGAAGCATTTAAAGTTAAATAATATGAATAAATATAAAAATATGCATTATACATTATACATTTATATTACATACTTATATTTACATAAATATATAAACATATATATATTACAAATACAAATGAAGACTATAAATGTAGTAGACCTGATTATAATTTCAGCTTCACAAGCTTTCTGATAGCAAAAGAAGCCTTGCACTAATCACTGCTGACAATGATTAGTTGAAAAACATCAAAGAGATTAGCATTTCTGTTAAAACACCAGTATTATGATGAGCTTTGGTTTATTAAAAGCTCTCTTGAATCAAGTGCAATTACACTGTCAAAAAAACCACAGCATGTATACTTACCACACGCTTTGCAGGCAACAGTGCAAATCTCTTCTGCGATGTATTCTCCAGCTGGAAATTGAAGATAATCTCCTCCTGTCTTCACAGGTGAATAATAAAGGTACACTTGAAGCAATGGCTCTGTCTGCTTAGGTGCACTAGTATTCCCAAGGATGTCACCATTCTGGTGGACAGTGGCAGTTGCTGTGCCTTCTATATTTGCCATTGTAAGACAGGCCATTGTTTTCCTTTTGTTTCTGTTCAGAACATTTGCCTAAAAGAAACGTAAAGAGTACTCTTTGAATAACTGCATGCAGTCTTGCTTGCAATACTTTTATCTAACAATAGCTCCCTTTTGACACAAGGAACATAAACACTTACTACCGAGAATAAGAGAACAGCTTAGAAGGTCTACTAAAAGTTGAGTTTCACTTCACTTCAATCACAGAATGGCTTTGGTTGAAAGGTCCTCAAACATCATTTAGTTCCAACCCCTTGCCATGGGCAAGGTTGCCAAGCACTTGACCAGACTGTTCAGGAGCCCACCAAGCCTGGCCTTCAATGCCCCCAGGAACAAGGCATCCACAACTTCTCTGGACAACCATTTTCAATGCCTCACTGCCCTCTGAGTAAAAAATTTCTTCCTAACATCATACTGAAATCTCCACTATTTTAGTTTAAATCTATTCCCTCTTGCCCTTGTCCTGTCATTTTCCACCTGTGTAAAAAGTTGGTTCCCCATCTCCTTGCAAGATCCTTTCAGGTATTAAAAGATTGCAATGAGGTCTCCCCAGAGTCTTCTCCTCTCCAAGAGAAACAATTCCCTCAACATTTCTTCATGGGAGTGGTGCTTCAGCCCTCTGACAACCTTTGTGGGACTTCTCTGGACACGCTCCAACTGCTCCATATCCTTCTTGACCAGGCCTGGGGAACCTAGTACACAGTACTCCAGGGAGCCTCACCAGGGTAGAGAAGAGGGACAATCACCTCCCTCTCTCTGCTGGCCACTGCTCTTCAGATGTAGTCCAGGAAACCACTGACCTTTCAGCCTGCATGAAGGAGGCTTACCAAAGGTTTACAAGAAGGACCATAAGGAGGATCCAGGGAGTTCCTCAGTACCTCAGTACCAGGGAAAGCTACAGAGCAAATCATCTTGGGTGAGATCACACGGCACATGCATGGATTCCAGAGGATCAGACCCAACCAGCACGAGTTCATGAAAGGCAGGTCATGCTTGACCAACCTCATCTCCTTCTACAACTGGGTGACCAGACTGGTAGACAAAGGAAAGGCTATCGATGTAGTCTACCTACACTTCAGCAAAGCCTTTGACATGGTCTCTCACAGTATTCTCCTGGGGAAACTGGCTGCTTGTGGCCTGGACAGGTATATCCTTTTGGGTAAGGAATTGAGTAGAGGGCTGTGCCCAACGAGTAGTGGTTAATGGAGTTAAGTCCAGGTGGTGACCCCGTTACAAGAGGTGTCCTCCAGGGGTCGGTACTGTGGCCTATCTTGTTGAATATCTTTATTGATGACCTAGATGAGGGGATTGAGTGTACCCTCAGTAAGTTTGCAGATGACATCAAGTTGGAAGGTAGTGTTGATCTGCCTGAGGGTAGGGAGGTCCTTCAGAGGGATCTAGATAAGCTGGATCGCTGGACTGAGGTTCAACAAGGCCAAGTGCCGGGTCCCGCATTTTGGCCACAATAACCCCATGCAGCGCTATAGGCTTCAGGCTGAGTGGCTGAATGACTGTTAAGAGGAAAGGGACCTGGGGGTGTTGGTTGATGCTTGGCTGAACATGAGCCAACATTGTGCTCAGTTGGCCAAGAGGGCTAATGGCATCCTAGCCTGCATTAGAAATTGCATGGCCAGCAGGAGCAGGGAGGTAATCATCCTACTGTACTCAGCACTGGTGAGGCCGTACCTTGAGTACTGTGTTCAGTTTTGGGCCCCTCACTACAAGAAAGACATTAAGGCCCTGGAACGTGTCCAGAGAAGGGCAGTGAAACTGGTGAGGGGTCTTACGAGTGTGTTGCTGAATTTCTCCATGTGGAAAAAATTGCTCCCACTGACATTCATTGATGCTTGCTGAACGTTCATGGAGACCAAACAGTGGATATGAGCACAGTAAGGCAGTGGAGTGGTGCACTGTAGCAAAGATGATGTTGAAGACAAGCCATGTTCCAGAATGCAGATCCTTACAAGCTTGGAATTCAGGCTCTTGTTTATGGCTGGCAAAAATGTATAGATCATGGTGATAACTATGTTAAAAAAAATAGTGTTTTTAGCTGAGAATTTGTTCTGACAAATAGCACTATTGTTCTCTTGGTATTTGTTGTAGTTTCCATGGAAGTAAATAAGAGGCATCGCTTTTGGAGAAACCTACATATACTGCTTTATCATAAAATACGTGTTTGGAGAGTTACTTTTAATTTTTTTTCCCCTCTCGAATCTACAGTTACTAAGGAAAAGATGACTGTATGATTTATGTGGGTTTACATTATATGAGTTAAAAGTGACCTGTTCTACTAAAAACGATCACAAGTTAAGCCAGCAGGAAAAAGGCTTAACACCTCAAAGGAAGAAAGTATTCATTTCATGAATCTATGTAATAGATAAAAAATAAAAAAAATAGATAAAAATACTAAGTTTACATATACAAGAGCACAGAACTATGCTAACTTGATGGTAAATACAGACAGAAAGCCCGTGAAGCAAAGCAAAAAATAAAATACCCAACAACAACATCAATAGAAAAATACATCATTTTAATTTCCAAACTGAAGCAACACAGAACTAATATATCACCGAATCATAAATCTACATTTCTAAGTACAAGTGAATTTGAGCTGTGGGCCTTAGTCATATATTGCCATGAAGGTCTTTCAGCTGCAAAGGCCACAATCAGGCAAACAGTGTTCAATGAAGGGAAAAATTTGCACTTCTATTAAGCCATCCAGAATCTTACGTTTTGTTGAAGAAAATAACCATTGCATCAAAGATTTAATATACTCAGAATGGGACATCTGTAGGTAAGTTACTCACAGTACCCACACAGGTATTTGTTGCCCAGACAGATGCAATGTACAAGGCCCACATATATCTGAAAGTTTTGTCATGGTTTTATGTTTTTTGGTTTTCAGTATTCTGCATCAAAACATCATGTAGTGTACTGGAATTAAAGTGTTAATGTTCCAATTCCAGGTACCTATCCCTATACATTAAGGAAGTCATGGAATCTGACCCTTCCAGGTGCAGCAGTCTTTTACTGCCTGGCATTGGGTGCTGGAGGGTGCTTTCCTAGCCATTCCAAGCCTTTCAGGTTTGACTTGGTCTCAGGAACTCTCTCCTATCTGATTTATTAGTCTCAATTTTGATTAGATTGTATTATATTGTGTTGTCTTGCATTCTGATATCATAGTAAAATAAGTTTTCCTCCATAGATTGTTGCTGCTGTTTTTTGTTTTTTTTTTTCTTCTCCCTTCCTTCCTATTTTGGGGCTGGGAGGTGGATAGAGGGGTAGGGGCCTACTGCCCCCTGTCACGGGCATATATTGATCTAGTTAACTCTGTGACAAGTTTATATCCAACATGCAACCAGAACTCAGTGAAATTAAAAAATTACCAGTCCACTTATAAACATTTTTGCCATTAGTATAAATAACACAATCTTCAACGAATACATTTTGATTTGGTGATTAAAGCACCTATCTGTAAGAGATCTGATTCTGGAACTAAGGAACAATGTATTTGATCCAAGAGGGTTATTTTGATATTTCTAATCTTGATCATATTTCAAGACTGAATTTTTAAAGGATTAATTATTACTCATGCTGTTCTAACAACCACCAGCATTTACAATGCTACGTGCTTATATGCACTTTTCTGTTTCTGTCTGCAACTCCAATGCACCAAAGAATTGATTTTACCTTCCATGCTGTCCTGCACTAATTTAAAAATAGTATAACTTCAACTAGAAAAGAGAATTAATTAACAGATTGAAAACCATCACAATGTAGGGAAATATATTAAAATGCAGAGGGCATAAAAAGCCCTTCATGATTAAATAGTATTCGCATCTGCAGCCCAGTTTATTAAAATTTTCTTCTTACAGACTATTTCAGTTATAGGCTGCTTTTTTTTTTCTTTAAATCTAAACTCTTCTTTTGAAAATAACCACTCTTTCAGCTTGCATATCTTTTTTTTTTTTTTTTTTCTTGGAGAAAGGGCATTCTCCCACTATAGGTAAGTCTTCTGTCAACTACCTTTTATTACTTGAGAAAGCTCTGTATAAAACATAAGAAAGATGAAACCTTTTAAATGAGCATATCAAAGGTCACCCACTTGCTGTTGGTATCCACAGGAGGTCAGACAAAGGAGGCACAGAGGCAATGGTAGAACATAATGTATCTGCAATAGAAACATAGTAAATATTATAAAGTGAATGGCCTTGAGCAAATATATCATTACTTAGGAACTCAGGTGTTGAGTTTCAGATAGTGCGATTCATTCCTTTTTCATATGCCTGAATTCCTATTGTCTTCTTTGTGAAGAACTTTTCAAAACCATATTTTTGGTTCTGTTAGACTTTGATCCTTAGTTCTAACAATAAGCTGGTACACTAAATGTACACTTGTTTCATAATTCCCAGCTGTCTTTTTTTCTTACACTGTATTTTTTATTTTTTGTAAATAAAGAAATCAGTTTAAGAGAACTTTGATGGCATTAGAAGAGAAATAAAAAGAATAAAAAAAAGACACGGCAGATTCACTTAAGGTAGTAACACTCCATTTCACTAAAACACTTAATTCTAGCTAAAAACTGATAACACTCTCTCTCCTTACAATTTGTGTGGAAGTTAGCACCAAATGTCTCTCAGGAGGAAGGACAAGGGCACGCCTACTTTCATTCTCTTTACATACTTCTGTGGTTGCAATAAACACCATTTGAAAACACCTAAGCAAAACAGTAGCTCTCTCCATCAGTGAAAAAATGGAAATACCCTGCTGTGATGCTTCAACCACAAGAAAAGGCTGAAGAGAGAAACAAAAGCACATTTTAAAGCTGACGAGAAAAAAAAAAAAAAAAACATGATAGTGAATAGTTAAAAGTGGATGAAACTCAGGGAATACTGCAGAATTTAGATTTGATGATTTTTCAGACAAATCTTGGGCAGAAGGAAAAAGAAGGAAATTAAATTCCTTAGCACCACCTGCTGCTGCTACCAAGTTTACCATCCATGGCCCTGAAAAATGGAACCCACCTCACATAGCTGCAAATTCAGCTTCTATCTCCACTTAAATCAGACTTCCGAGAACAGTGTTTCTTCTCTTGTGAATCTGGCTTCAGAGATAAGCAGTTACACCTTGTTTGGACAGCTGCATGTTTTCTATACATCTCCAAGGATGCTCCTTAAAATGCTCTCTAGTCAGCCAATTAATATCTGATACAAAGTCTCCTCTAGAGTTAATTCAAGTTTTCCAGACCTGTGTTAGGGGATGGAATAAATTGCTCAGGGGCTGAGAGAGCATATGCTCCTTGGATTTTAATCTGATGGCACCAATCCAACAGAGCACAGAACCATAACCTGCTCATGCATGTTGCAGACCTCTGGGCAGTGCTGGGTAATTCTAAATTATCTTCTGCTCTGAGACCATTGTTTCATGCTTATTACTCCCAGTCTGGCTTTTGATTGAGGAAAACCATATGAAGATTTTCCTGACTGTAATTGGTTGTGAACTTTCCCCCAAAACTCCAGATCAACTGCACAATATTTTAAGTTATATAGGCAGTCGGCAATGAACTGATGGTACAAACCACATTGAGTTGGTGACCCAAGTCACTTCCACTGTGGCTATAGCAGTGTCCATTAGAAAAAGGGCTGTGATACTTTGACTAACCTCAGTAACATAACAATATGCACTTCAAGAGCAACAACTGGGTAAAGCAGCCTAACATGAAGTCTATAATACTTCACTTAACAAAAAAACAGAAAAATGACTGCTTAAGATAGAACAGCTCACAGCTCTGGACAAAAAGTGCAAAACTTAGGGAGAAAGACGTCAACGCTGAATATGCTCACAGTGGCTACTGTAACATCTCCCTCTTTTAGTCAACCTCTGTTCCTCCCGCCTACAGACATATCTATTTATAAGATCTTCACCAAGGCCTTACAAAATTGTTTACTTCATTTATGCACTTTTTAGGCTGAGTAAGTCTTGTTTAACATAACTTGTTCTTTTAGCAGCAGACTTTCAAAGAATGCCACCTATATTACAGTTTGGACTGACCAGACAGTGAACCATCTTGCCAGAAATCCAGCTCTCTCATTTCCTCCAGTTTGTTCACGTTTACACTAGACCACATTTCTGTCAGTTGCAAGGATTTAAATTCCCAGTTGCAAAACAAAGTCTAGAATCTAATGAAACAGTTAAATATGTCCATCATCTCCCTGCTGCTGCGTTTTGTGAAGAACACAATACAGTTGTAGTGGAGATTCTGCAAGCTAAAAAAAGGCCCTTCTCAGCAAGCTTTTAGAATTCCTATAATTGCAATTAATGTTTATTGTGTCTGCCACTAAGCAACTTGAATACTCAATTTATAAGCAAGTGAGGAGAAATATAAAAATAGCATTTTCTATTATTTTATATTTCTAAATAAGGTCTTGAAGACATAGATACCTCCCAACAACTCTATTAGTTTATTATCAGTAAAGTAGGACATCATCTTTAAGCTTGAAAATATCAAAAACACACACTTTCCATCTTATACACACATCCTTCTTTCAAGAAATTTGAAAGAACATTATGAACAGCAACTATGAAAACCTTCTCAATTGATGATCAGTAGGCTGTTACAGGGTAGATATGAGCGCAGAAATGTCTCACAAAGCTCTAACAATTAATAATCCTAATGACTATTATAGATCTTGTTACAAGAACACTAAATGAAATTTTACTTATTTATATAAGATGAGAGTAAGATGAAAAGACTGTCAGTTCCCAACTTCAGATAAACAAACAAGCTATCAAAGCAATATTTATTAGTTATACTTAACTTTTATACTCAGAATATCTTCACAGTTCAATTTGGTTATACAGGCAGATGGAGCACAAATAAACCTGCTCATAGCATGCATCTAAGAAAACTTTAAATCTTGAAAATGTAACAGTATTCATATTGTGCATAAAACATGCAGAATCCTTGATATGATTTGCTTTGTGGACTGCTCTTTTTCTTTTATAGAAAAACATATTAAAGGACTCAAATGCATACCTTTCTCTAAGCAGTTAAACATATCAAAATATTACTGCATGAAGAGGTACTGCTGCTCCTTGAAGGATCAACAAAAAATTCTTACATTGTTGCTCAGCCAGAACGCAGTTGAACAACATCTGGTATTTCACCAAAAAGGAAAAATCACTACAACAGATCCCATTTTCATCACATATATTCACAAGAAATCATTCTTCTCACTAACTTTATCAAACTTAGAGTATTCAGCAATAAAAAAACTTCAGCAATCTCAAGAATCTGAGAAACTTCTCCACTGCTTAAACTACAGAAGCCAATCAGACAGTTAATCCAGGCTTTAATTGTATCATACTTTGCTGTCCTTTCCCAGGTAACATTTTCTGACTTCAAAAACAGCTTTCACAAAAATCTAAATGTCTTCCCTTAAGCATATTTAAAGACATTCTGTAGAGAAATAATATGACTTCAGTTACCACTGCCTCTTGTTCACATGCTCCACTTGTTGCCCTGCCACAAGTTAAATACATAGACACAAGAATAATGAGGGTTCATACAAGAAACAACTGCTAGAAGATAAATTATTCCAAAGGAATTTTTCCTGTTTCATCAGCTATGCTAATATCACACAATGATTTTTAATATATCAGGAATTTGAATGCAAATGGTAGCAAACAGATGCAGAAGGAAGATGACATCTGTAACATATCAACAACAAAACATGTGGTAAAAAAACCTGGAGAAACAAAAATAACATTTGCTTACAGTTTTCCCTTAGTAAACCACTGACTTGTATCAGCAATTCAGCAAGAGCCCATGAACTTTTGCACAAGGAAAGAGTAATAATCCTGGTCTGATCTGCCTACACTACACAGGGACTAACTAGATAGAAGCTGCTAGCATGAGACTTTAGTCTATTCCTCTGATTAGAAACAAAGATTGGGATTTTTATGTTATCCACAATTGAAAGAAGCCACTACTCTCGCTTTTCTCAGGAAGAAAGCTGCCAAAAAATGTTGTCTAAAAAGCAGAATGAAAAATACATTACAGAAGCCTGGCCATCACAGTAATCTGCCAGGTAGGTGAGCTGCCAAAAAAAAAAAAGTGATCAAATCAAAGGTTGCCCACAAACAACAGCTTTGGTTGGGTTCCATCAGAACTCTGGCAAAAGCTGGTTTGTATCTGCAAAACATTTAAATTTCACCATGTTGATGACCTTCAGCAAAAGATTATTTCATCAGAAAATCTCCAAGCAATTCAAATAGTTGCCCAACTGTTCTGGCAAAGAATATTTCCCAAGACAGTGACATTTGAGGTTCCTTAGTCCATCAGAGCCACCATCATCTGCACAGCCTTGTATGCACAGAGGACGTGGGATGAGTAAACACAGTAGGTCAGACAGACCTGTCACACAAGGTACATGGAAAAACATTCATTTCCCTAATACATCTCTCAAATGCTTATGAAGTGATGCAATGACGAATGACAACAGCAAAACCAGGACACTATACAGCAGGTCAATCTGTATGCCCTTGCTTGAAACTGAAGTGGATACAAAAGAGATCTCAAGAACATCCTCATTATGAGATTTTTTCTCTTACAAACAGTCTGCTAGCTGTGGAGACTAAGTGTATTCCCATAACTACACGACATCATGCTGGATTTTATGTTTCATAAGCAACATTTTAAGTGGAATTCTATTTACTAGATCAGACCAGGAAATAAGGGTTAATTAGTAGAGAACAGATACTCTTTAATTATTTCTTTAATGTCTTTCAAAAATATATAAAAAAGGAATTGCTGATGTTCCTGTATATCTGGAACAAAATAAATCAAGGTAAATAGTATTTTTAAAGGTTGCTGACTGGTAGTTTCATTCTCCCTGGTGGCTTTTGATTGAAAAAAAATGTTGAACCACTTTCCTACACCAAAGTACTGGCTTACGAGTAAAAACAAATACTAATAAATTACCAAGGAATTAAGAAGCAATAAAGGTTAAAAAAAAAAAATCACATTTCAAAGTGGAAAAATATTCTGATTCACCACTGGAAACAGAAAGCAGTATTTTTCTGTTAAAAGGCATTTCTGTCATAAACAATGGGAAAAAAAATGCCAATCCAGAGTACACAGGTGACAGTTATAGCTACATTCAAGAGTTAAAATAAGTATTGAAAGCACAAACAAAAGCAAAAAGAGCAACGCAGCAGCAACAAAGTTATCTTTCTAACTGCTTGGATTTCTTAGACATCACAAGATCCCTAGACTGGTCATATCAAATAGCGGGGAAGTGATGCTAGAAGACACTTTTGAAGAAATCAAGCTAACCTTTTCAAAAAAATACAATTCCCTGTGCCACAACTGAAGAAGGATTTGTCAAAACATGAGCCAACAATTGTTTGTACAGTTCTGTGTTGCCTAAGAACAACATCAATTACAAAACAAATGCCAATTTAGCAGATGCTGTCAAGAACCAAGCAAGTGACACTAAACTACTAGAAGCTATATGCATTTCACACCACAGTCTGAGTGACACAGCAGAAAACAGCCCCTGTATCCACAATTGAAAGTCTCAAAAACTGTCCCTCTTCTTTCCGCCTCCAAACCTGTCCTTTTCCTTTGGGAGGCAAAGACTTCTCAGCAGATGTCTGCTCTCAACAGCTTAACTGAGGAAATGGAACAGTCATGATCCATCACTTGCCATAGCTTATGAAGAGCACCTAAGTCTGAGCCAAGTTTCTTATCCCCTCCAGCTACAGGACTGCTGTGAAGCTTCAAGTCTACGCAAATGGTATCTTCTAGGCAAATAACAGCACAAATCCTTCATCACAGAGTTATATCCTGGTAGAACACATAGCGTTCTCTTCCTTCATAAAAGATAAAGGGTTTCTCATGGCAAACATTTCTGTGAAGAAAATTAGTCAACTCTTCCCAGCTACCACTGAAAACTAGGACAAACTGCCCAGTTTGTAGTTGTTCAGCAAGCTGCTCCAAGAACAGGATTTTAAAAAGTCTTTGGGGCGTTCCTTGTGAATTCTCTTATCTCCCTTTTCTTTTCCTCTTATCTCACTTCCCCAGTTTGGCAACTTCTCTCTTCAGATGTTAGTACAACTACTGCCTCTGAAGAAACTGTCATACATGTTTACACAGTGTGCAGAAATTCATGCGAGTTGAGAAGCTAGAGTTTTCTTCCTGGTAAGGAGGAGCAGAAGTAACATCACAAAACTCTTATAGGTTCAGTCTTGTAAGTGGGAGGAGGTATGAAGAAGGAAGTAACAGAAAGCAAAGGTAAAAGGTGATAAAACAAGCTTTTTAGACCCTACTCCCTCAACATGAGTCAAAAAACTTTCCTTCTGATGTTTGATCTTGTCTAACACAACTTGAATTTATAAGCATATAAAAAAAATAGGGGAAGAAAATGAACAAAACATAGACAGATTCTGACTACTGGCCAAGCATCAGAACAATTTAAGAAGTGCTAACCAACGCCAAGAATAATTAAGGAGATTTTCAGTCACCTTACATGCAGTGAGAAACCACTGTAAAAAATTGTACTGCTACACCTCCTTGCTATACTGTCCAAGACAAATAGGTGTCTGCAGTTTCAACAGCCAAGGTAACATAACAGACTACTTTTCTTTCACACTTCTAACCCTCTACCTATAGAGGCTAATGGCATACCTTCACACTTCACCATACAGGGTGGGGCACCATGGAAAAATATCATCACAACCTCAGTCAGCTTTTCTGCTACAAAAAGAGAAAATAAATATATGAACCATGTTTTTCACTGAATTATTTTTATAAGATACACCTCCAGCTGTTCTCAGTTCTGTGATTTTTGGTTTCTTTCCTCTTTCAATTTTCACAACTGGACCAAGCAAAGTGTAAAGTTGACTTGGACAAAAGCATTGCATAATATACTGCTTGAAGAACACAACCTCAACTTCTCTAACATTTTTCAGTTAAAACTGGGGGGTCGAGGGCAGGAAGACAAGTAAAACTGAGATAATTGCCAGCAGTACGAAACATCTAGGTGAATGAAATCACCCTGTACTTCTATCCCAGCTTTTACAACAGCTGAAGAGAATCTGAAAATGTGCATTTCACCAAATTAGCACTTTGCCAAGGCAACTGTCAGAAAGTAAACAGGATAACACTTAAGTCAGAGTGAATCAGCAATCTCTACAGAACAGCCAAAAGGTATAGATTCTACTGTCTCCTTTGCACCCTCATCTTCAGCCCTCCCTGCTTTTACAGCTTTCCTTAATTGCTTCAGTTTAGAAATTACATACAAACATGTAATGCAAATTTCATGTACAAATTCCTTAAAGTGTGAGTGGGTGGTTTTTTTTTTTCCTCTTTTGTTTGGATGCATTACTCTTTTTTTTCTTTTTTTTTTTTTTTTTTTTAGGTGCTTAAAATTATTTAAACAAAACAAAACTAAGCCTTTATGTATAAGCTCCACTAACTTGAAACACTGACTTTATTTACAGGTGTTTAAGTCTGACTTTTGATTTCAGAAAATTTAATCCCAATACAAGATGCTATATATTTGTATTTAACTCTTCTATATTACTGTCCGAGCAAGTAAAAACCTTACTGAAGACCTCAGCTGTCCTAGAAAACAAAACTAAAAGGAAACCACAGTAATACTTTCTTACTTACAACCTCCTTGATCTTAAATGAATTCAATGAGACTACAAACAGTCACGAAGCACAAACTAGATCATATGAATTATTAGAGAATTAGGGGCTGGTTACTTAATGTGATAAAAAACACATACAAAAAAGACCCTCTAAAAAATTCAAGTAGCAATATCATACAAGGCAATGCCAAAGAAATACTTGAAAAGAACTGATTTTGGTAAATGGCAGTTTAACTAATGCTAAAACTCCCAAGCCTGTATCAACGAATTCAAAAGCTTCTTAAATAGTGAGTGACTTAAGAGTTCAATTATTACATATATAAATATGGCATTTTCTGTTATTCTTTTATAGAAGGGTTCCAGCACAGTTAAAAAAAAGTGTTCTTTTTTAAAATCCTATTAATTGCTTTATAATATTGAATCATTTATGATAACAACACTGACATTTTATCTTTATAATTCAGGAAAATGTACTTGCACGATAGTTTACTTAATGCTTCTTTAATCATCAGTGGCCTGAGAGTCCTCCACTCATTCGTTATCTGAAATACCAGCCAGCTTTTGCAAAGATACAGCACTACAAGCTTTGCCAAGATCACGTTATCTCTATAAACACAGATTGTCAGGAAAAAAAAAAAGTTGGAAGCAAAAAAAATTAAAAAAAACAACACAGGACTCTGAAAGTAAACAAAGGTTCGTTGTAAAGTGTGCCACTAGTGGAAATTCCACAAAAATGATGAAAATGAGCAACTTGTTTAAAATAAAGGATAATAACAAATCTAATGAAGACAGCCACATTTTACCAATGTAACATATCAAATACTCTGTGTTCCCTTGTGGAATATAAAAGCAGCAAACATTTTTTTCTTTTGTTCTATAGAAGAAACCAGTGCTTATAATATGCATCATTTTTACAGAACTCTCATCTGAGTAAGATTACTCCAACTTAATTGTTTGCTTTGCTTCTAAAGGAAGAAATAAGTGTTTCTGAATAAGATAAATATAGGGAGCAGTTTATACACATACCATGTGTTTTCCTCAGCTCTGAAGTTACAGACAGAACTATCATGATTTTTGACATTAAATCCTGACAAAAACATTAAGGAAATTGCAGGAAGTAAGAGCATGAGAATTGTGCCCCACTAATTCAAAAAGCAACAGCAGACTACCTGACAAATTCATGAAAATAATATAATGAAAAACAAATAAGAATTCAAATACAGTGCTGAAGATTAAAATCATAAGTACCTGTTTAAAATACATTTTTCTATTTCTCTCAGAAATAAGACTGCTGGAACAGTCAAGACAGGATAGATTCTTTATTTTTTAGTTTTGAAATAGCAGTTGATACAAAATAGATTTTAGATAAACTCATTACTGGACTGTGTGCAGAAGGAAATCCAAGATATTAAATATAACCAGCACCGATAACAGAAGATCAGATAAGAAGATGGTGTTCTTTTCTGGATTTCAAAATGTGTCACTATAGATAGTGCTATTATCAGTTCCTTTACAAGAGGACATTATAAAGAAAGAAGAAACATCTATAGCATAACTATATCTTTACACCGATAAATTGTTAGAACAAGTTACATTACAAAATTCCCTAAATAAATACTAAGCTTCCTAAAAGCCTATCTGGTGACAAAAAAAATTAGAAACAAATTCTCTCAGTACATGTCACAGTCCAACCCCTACCTCAGTTCTTAACTCAGGGGCTTCCACCTACATTCCAATCTTGGATGAGCTCAGACTGCTCTAAGGAAACTTTCCTGGATGTACCCACTCAGTAATGCCAAACATAACACGAGTTCCTTCTGCTAAACTTCAGCCCCATTCAGAAACCATGCAGGATAGCATACTGCCTAAGTAACAGAACAATACATAATTTTTCCTTGACCAGTCTTAAATTCATGAGCAACTTCAATTTTCTGTGGAACTTTTCTGCATAATGCATATACGCAATTGCAGTCTAACTCAGTTCACCCAAGCTACAAATTCCAGACTTAGCTGCAAGGGTCAAGGAGGAGCTGCTGCAAGAGGGCAGACATTTACAGACTTCGAGAATCATGTCCCAAGGCAAAACAGAAAAAAACCAAATATTAATATCTAACTAATAAGCAGGTGACAAAAAACAAGCCATAATCATAACACAGTGATAAACCCAGCTAAGCTTTCCCCAAAAAGTCTATCAAAAGCACTGCAGCCTCACTTTGATAAATTTTTATTGAAAGCAACTACTTTTATTAGATGAACTGGATCTAAATCTAAAAACCAATAACACATTACAGTCAAAGTGGGATTGTGTTGTTTTTTGGTTTTTGGTGGTTTTTTTTTTGTTTTGTTTTGTTTTGTTTTTTTTGAACATGGAAACTGCACAGAGCAAGACTTGCCTCCGGCTGAACTTGTGGACAAACTACCAAGACCTCCTGAAGTCAATAGGGGGTTTTACAACCAGCTATAGTGTCTCTTGTGTTTATACATGCTTTGGACTCCTGAACATCTACTTTTAATATGCAACAAATTGCTATAAATAATACTAGTTACAATATTTGTTAAATGTATATTCTAATCATCAAGCTGACTACAACTGAAATCCCAAGCAGGAATTAAAATTGTCTGAATGGACCACTTCTGACAAGGCTTTCCAGTTGATACAAATGGATATCCTGCTACTCTTTCCTACCCTCAAGTGTTTGTTATATCTGTTATTGGTAGGTGAACAATCTCTTAAATGGATTTTTTTCCTCTTTCTTAATTGGCACACAGTAAGGACTTTGACTGCCAGTACATGTAAGAAACACTACACCCACACCTAGTTCCAAACCAAACATCTACATATCCATCTGCCAATTTCATCAAATAATAACTCACTTGAGTTTCATTTTATTAAATCAAAAAAAGAAGGTCACAGTGGAATTGCGCCCCTCTGACTGGTACATAGATAGACAAAAAAATGAACAAAAAACAAGATAGGAGAAGCCAAACCATGGCCCTTTTTGGTACATTGTTGATAACGTTTACATGGTATTAAATTTATTTAAAAACACAACCCTACAATGCAGTTTTATTGTAGATAAAGAACATGCTATGAGTCACAAATAGCCATCAAATTGCCTAGAATATTAGAGGCAAACTTTACCAACTGCAAAGGCACTTAAGTACACAGTTGTTTTCATACTCTTGTCTGCATTGCACTTTGGTACTAGGGTACTTTAAATAAAACAATCACCATTCTTATTTTCCAAACTTAACAGAAATACAAGGAGTCTCAATTATTTGCCTAATTTCACACTGTGAGCCACTGATAGATCAGATATTAATACAACTATTGGTTTCACAATATAGTTAACAGAATGGATTTCTATTGTAAAGAAGAAAATGCCTCACAATTCCTTTCAAGGAAGGTGAATAGTTGCAATGAAGCGCCACCAGTAAGGAAGTGCTGCTGAAATCCTCCAACTGCTTAAACATTGCAAAAGAAAATGCTCTTTTAAATTAAATTCTTAGCATAATTCTCCTCATACGCAGCATCTCAGTTTCAGTTCTCAGTCTTAGTATATAGAAGAAGTCTCAAGCAGGGGAATGAAAAATAATCTTACCTGAACCCACAAAGTTGAATATAAAGGGCACAAATTAAATATATATATATATCCACAAAACGAAACTACGCCAAAGAATAAGCTTTAAGAGGGAAAGACTTAGAAGAGAGACATTTAATGCACCTCAAAGTGAAGAACACAATGATTCCATTAGCTGTTTTCAGAATTTCTGTTCAATTACTTTTTAGAGTTCCAAAAAAAGTGAATTATACAACAGACGCAACAGTACATTAACATATCTATCAAAGGTTGTGGGTGTATTTTTGAGTGCCTAATAGGTGACTAAGATATTCCTCACACCTTCAGCAGAAGCAGGATTCTTAGTGCTTCAGTTGTTCTGATCAAATCTAAATGCCACCACTGTGTAGACTAGCATTAAATAAAAACAAAATCACAAAAATGGATTCTTGCTAATTCTTCCATCCCCATTTATGATGGATGAATTCTAAAAGTGAAGTTTATTTCCTTCATTAGATAGCTGTATCTGTTTCCCCCAAACTGTTTCCTGTTTCATGGATAGTACCACTGCTTAAACACTTGACTTCATCAAGCTACTAGTACAAGTAACATACATCACTATGAACTTATGTAAGGATAATATAATCTGGGACATATCCTGCCAGTCACTTCAGATGGATGTGAGAGATTAGTTTCCTCTTAAGAAAAGTAGTTTGATGATTCTCATAATCTGTGCAGAATGTTAGTGACCCTTCAGAAGCAAAGTAACAAAAAAGTGGCAGAGATTAACTGTCTTCCTTTGTGCTTTTGTTGACAGCAAGATTGCATAATGGATTCATCCTCTGATGAACAATTTCATCTCACCTGATACAGAATCTTTCTAAAGCCAAAATTGTCCATTTCTCAGACTATCACCTGTTAAGCAGTATAAGTGCAGCATCTGAGTCACAGCAGGGACTTCAACTTTCATTGTCTGCTCTCAGCCAGAAAAAAGAATGTACAGCAAGAAAAGCAAACCCATGGGCAAAAACAAGAAAATTAAGAGAGCAAAGAAGATGAGATGATAGATTAGAAGATTTAGCAGTTTGATTTTGAGAAATTTGAGAATCCCTAGCTCTAAATGCAGATTAAAACACAAGAGTTTGAACCCAAAGCTATCAGAATAAAGCAATTCTTCTGCTTCTCCTATCCCTATACTTCTTCCCCACTAAGCTTTTCCAACAAAGAAAGACATCTTGCACTGCACTTTCATCTCCTTATCTTCAGCTGGATAAAGAACCACATTCTGAATTTTAACTGAAGTCTACTCAGTCACTTAGCAGTTACCCCACCTTATTTAAAACTAATTAAGTTACAGTGGATTGCTAAACATGCATAACCTTAATACATGTGAAGTAAAAACCAGATGATTATTGTGCATGAACAGATGCAAAAACTGGCATGTTAGAACCTGCTTTACTCCAGAAGGCAGAAGAAAATATACAATGATCTACTAAGCATGACCAACAGTCCAGACTCATTAAGATTCTTGTAAAAATTAAAAAAAAAAAAAAAAAAAAAAAGAAAAGAAAAGAAAAAAGTCCGGGGTGGAAAGGGAAATGAAGGCATCATTTTGTTTTGTTTTAATTTTGGAAGTGTAATTGAATACAAATGAAAATTTGGGAAGAAACTTAAACTAATCCTGAGAAGATACCTTTTCATGGTGATTATTTGCTGCAAGGCTGTAACAGATGCCATATAGATGACATGCTCCATGATGCAGAAAAAAGAAAATAATAGCAAGAGCCTTGGTTTGATTGGAAGATGGAAATATCACACTGAGTCACAGGTGGTACAGGAAACCATAAACCTTGGGAAAGGGTAGATATCTGTAATAATTCATTTTCTGCACATCTATATTCTTGTCTTACACAGAAGAGTATGTACGGCTTTACTATCCCATCCCCAGCACGATACGGTCTGAGGCTTACCCAAGTGAACAATTGCTGTGAGACTCCAGTTTCCTTAGATTATCTGAAACTACTCAGCATCCCCAGACCACTAAAACAAATACTGCAAGAACGCATAATAAAGATTACACTTTATACCCCAGAGTAACAAACCAATGAATTTTCCATTCCCATGGCACCTAAATCATAGCTACACGTAAATAGAAGTTAGTAAGAAGTAGGTGCTTTTAAAATACACCACTGTTGGTCAGGGTTTTCTTTTTCCTCCTCTCCTTTTTGATAATATGGATATATTATTGTTTTAAAAACTATGAAATATGAAAAATTATGAAAAGTTATGAAAATTATGAAATTTAGATCTTCCTTCACTCTTGGTGACATTTAAGGATTCCCTCAGAGTGTTGGAGAAAAGGATGGATAAGGATTTTATTACACTGCAGAGCCTCAGTGGTCAGAGATAAGGATCTTGCAGCCAAGGATTTCCAGTCATTTCTTCTTGTCTAAATGTAGGGAGTAAATGGAAAACATCTCCACAGCAGTTAATGCTAAGTATAACACCACAGGTTCCCTACTGTTGAAATTTGCAGCCCTTTCTTGTTCTGATGTCAGAATAAATAAAACTTACGAAATCACATTTTAAACAGACAGAAAATAAGAAGCAGTAGGGAAAGATAAATTTATGAGAAAAGCAGACTACCAGGGTGGTCCACAGAGAAAGGCATAAAGGAGGCTTTCAGGAGAACACTGGAACAAGACTAAGCTAACACAGGCTTCAAAATTACTTTTTAAATATTCTTACTGTTTTGTGCAGAGTAAAAATAACAGTGAAAGTGACTTGTTCCACAATAAACTTGAGACAGATTAGCACAAGAAGACATAATACGTATATGAGAGAACAAACTATTTAGAGAACCAACTATTGACAAAAATATCTGTCAGAGAGCCAATTGATCTTACTAAAAGAAATCAGAGCAGGTAATATTTGCAGCAACATACTCCACCAGAAGAGCAAATCAGCTCTGATTCTTATGGTTCCAACAGTAATTTGTGATCTGCCACTCTCAGCAGAATGAATTTACAAGGAAGAAGCCACATTATTTTCATTACCAGCTGAGATACACAGTGATCCAAACTAGAAAGGGTTGTAGGCATCTAGCTGTGACCCAAACACCTACAAAGAAGATGAGAACTGAAGGAATTGTGTTGCACAGTCCACCAGCTCTCATGTGTGAATTCAGGAGGTGGGTGAGAAACTCGAAATTTTTCTGAGGCAGTCAACGCAAACAGATGTACTGGCTTTGCATCTTCTTGGACAAAAGGAATTATTTGGCTTTTCCAAAAAAATTACATTATCCAGTCTAAGTACAAATAACTTTCAGCAAGGTGTACCAACTATTTACATCAATTTCTGAAGAGATGTATAAAACATAGTGTTTGTTAACTGATTTATGCTCTGGCCAAACAGTCATACAATTGGTACCATGAGTCCTTGCAAGACATTACTGCTGGTAGTGATCTTCACAGATAGTCAGCAGATCACAAACAGCTTTTAGAAGCTTGTAACTTACTGTTTTCCCGCCACAGTTCTTCCAATCACACTCCACCCTTGTTTTTGTAACATGACTCTGGAAGCTTTGGTACTGCACAGAAGTTAAAGAGGTCCAAGTACAAAAAGCTTGGATGTTCAGAAGCACTAAAGGCAAGGGCAGTGCAACTAGCTGATCCTTACTCGCTAAAGACAAATGAACATCAGTCTTTCTACATAGAGCCTGACTCCTCAGCCATGTGGTTCATTTAGGTTTAAGAAAAATTTTATGATATTCAGCACAAACAACCCTCCCACACTCAATGGTACATGTCTTCCCCATCCACTGATGTGGCTGTACTAACCAGAAGTGCAGAGCAGGGGCTACTGTTGGAAAAGTTGACATCCCAGCCAGATCCACCTCAATCAGCTTTTGATAAACCTTTAATAGACTAGTATTGTGATAGCGAGCATTTTCTTCGGTATGACTGAAGCTACTCTCTACCAGCACAGACAGTCCAAAGTAAATGAATTAGCTCTCATGGCCACACCAATTTCAAATGCATGAACTTGGCATCAAAGATAACAAATGTGGGCAACATTTTTTTTTTTTTTTTAAAGTTAGATCAAACAGTTATTCTGTTGCCTGCATTCTGCACTACAGCAATTGCCTATCTGCCTGCTTTCCACACATTTTGATGGAAGACTTGGAACATGTTTATTTCTTGCTTCTGAAATCGTGCTCCTAGATGTTTGCTTTCTCCCAGCTCAGTCACCTTCCTTCAAACCTTTTGATCTCTACACTTAATGGTGCTACATTTAATCCTGCAATGGAAGACTATCAATAAGGATTTCTAGACGATCTGCATTCCATAACTAACAAACAATGAAAGCAAAGCTCAATTCTTCACATTTACTACCTATGAAGCAGTTGGTTCCATTCATTTCAGCTATATGAAGCATTAATTCTTTGTCTTCCTAAGGACTGCTACATAATAGCCATTCTGACATTTGTAAAACTAACTACTGTATTAAAAAAATCTCTAGAGAATTTGCTACAGCTGCTGAAGCTCTTTTACAACTTTACGAAGGTAAATTTAAAGCATTTTGGAAGTTTTGACTGTTTTCACTGTTTACATTCCATGCTCCCAGTTATCTTTCGTTTTCCAGATAATTCTGCTCTTTTGCTTACTGACAGAGATACAGACTGTTTCAGAACCACCTGCAAGATCAAAGGTAGAGGTCTTCCCTCAAACAGCCTTATTGTTTTGCACACTGTATGATATCAAACTAGTTTTGTTTTATAACTGAGAACCAAATTAATATGTTACTTGTATTTTTTTCTGCACCTAAACAGTAGCAGAACATGATTTTAAGAGTTAATTCTCAGTACATTATTTCCAAGCCATGTGCTTTCCTACTTGCTTACTAGGATCAGACCAAAGGCATAGAGATGTTCATCCAAAAGAATCAAGAATAAATCCCCATGAAAATGTACAGGAACAAAACAAGCCTGCAGTACTCCTTTAGCTTTACATTATTGCTTTCTGCTGTCCACTTAGAATCACAGAATAGAAGCACAAAATAATTTTGTTTGGGAAAGATCCTTAAGGTCATCAAGTCCAACCATTCAACTACACAGGTAAGCCATGCCCCTAAACACCGCATCCATACATCTCTTGCAATCCCCACATTATGTTGCTTGTCACCTGAGAAAAACAGCTGATTTTAACTGGAACCTCCTTTCAGGTAGCTGTAGTGAGTAATATCTCCCCTCAGCTTTTTCTTCTCCTGACAAAATAAGCGTACTTTCTTCACCCACTACTGGCATCTGTCTTTCTAGCACTTCTGCCAGTTGACTTGCTCAAACATGAACAAAACATTATCTTTCCCATAGCAAGGAGACCAAAACTGAACGCAGAAGTCAAGGTGCGGTCTCACTAGTGCCTCGTACAAGAGGACAATCACTTCCCTAGTTCTGCTGACCACACTACTTTTGATCCAGCCAATATGCTGTTGGCCTTTTGGGGCACCTGAGCATCTTGCTCATTCTTGTTCAGTCAGCTGTCAGTCAGCACCTCCATGTCCTTTCCTGCCAGGCAACTTTCCAGCTACTCTTCTCAAAGCTTCTACCACTGTATCAGCCTGTTGCAAAACAAGTGCTGAACTTGATATGTAGCCTTGTTGATGGACAAAGCTCATTAGCCTAGCCTATCCAGATGTTTGCATGAACCTTCCTACCCTCAAGAAAATAAACACTCTCATCCACCTTTGTGTAATCTGGGAACTGAGGGTGCATTCTACCCCTTCATGATCATTGATAAATGTGCTGAATGAAACTGGATCCAATACTGAGCCCTGAGGAACACCAGTTGTGACCAGATGTCAACCAGATCACAATAGCCCTATAGTTGCTGGCAGAGGATCCTTGCAGTGCTTCGGTATTTAAAACTCCATACTGCAGGGCTCTCCAGGTACAACTGCAGCAACATGGCTTTGCATATTTGTTAGCTCCTTTACATCACAGAATATATCATTATCCACAACTTCTAAGCTGTTCTGGAAAAAAAAAAAAAATCCTTCTCTCCTCAATGTCTTCTGCTTTAGCAGCTCATTCTTTCTGTTTTATTACATTTCTTTACATGAACGTTGGCTACACTGGCACTAAACTTCCGCAAATCTTTTGATGGCAGCCTTGTCCAACCTCTTCCCCTTACTCCACTGCCTACTCCACCTTATCAGCAATTACATGAAACAGTAAATATTTGTGCTGTTTTCCTCCTTTGTACTCAATTTTTTTTGATTTTTTGAATGGCTGACACATTGCAAGAACACTTCCATCACATTATTAATAAGACAGGAACAGACAAGTCATAGGCTTGAAGTGCCAGTGCTTCAATCCTGGTGAACGGACACGTTCTGAGAAACAGCTGAACAGTTGAAATGTCATTACATGTTTCTCTTTTTGAAAATCCAAACCTGACCCATATGCAGTCTAACAGTCCTGCTTGGATTGCATTTATTTTCAAATCTGTATTTCTGTACTCTACTGCTGAGGAACCCCTTT